TGCGCTATGTGGGGCCGCGAGGACACGCACCTGTACTTGGCCGACATGGCGTCATGCCATTGCAACCAGGTAATACTAAACGTGTTGGGAATTGTATGCACATGAAAATGTATTGCTGATTGTATGCTGGCCAGAACTAACCAATCGGTCAAATCTGACGAATAATCTGACTTTAGCGCGCAGGATAGCGTCAACGCTAGAATTTAGAGTCCCGCGGTGGGAGACTTAAAACGCTAAAATCTGGCTGAAAAAATACAGTTTTGGCGTTTTAGCGCCACGAGTGGGGATGCTCTGACTGTGAATAGTTGTTATTCTGTCGTTCATGATCGAATCACATTATTAAAATAACAGGAGGATCAGAACATGCCAGCTATCGGCAGCCAATCGAAATTCGCAATTTGGCCTAGGGATCGCCGTGATAGGCCAAATTTTCTCAAATGTACACTACAATAAAGCAGTACTAGTATAACGTTAGTCGGTCTAGTCGGTCGAACTCGAATTGACCAATAGAATTGCACTGTTACGTACTTACTGCACCGTTGTGCCGATTAACGACGTTGAAAAAGTGATGGAGGCAGCGCTCGAAGCCGAGTTCGATGCACTGGATGCAGAAATGCGAACGTATGACTCATGGCCTAGTGTGAAGACCAAGTCTCGATGCCTCGTGGAATACGCGAGCGGAAAGAGTGCTGGCACAATCTGCGGTAGCATTCACTGGACCAACCACATGCCGAACCATGTAATGAACAAGCACAACGAGGTGTGGGCGAACACGGAAAACAAAGCCGAGTTGTACGAACGTCTCGCTCGTGAAGACGCTCTGCCAGTCCTCCGACAAGTTGCTCGAAAACGGGTTGGCAAAGCATTCGCTGCCCGCCTCACAACAAAATTGCCCCCCACCAATGTCGTCAACATCGACTACGACAAGAATGAACAATCCGCGTTGATTCAAAGATGTTTGGAGCAAGGGTGTTCGATCAGCGCTGTGTTGGAGATGCAGGCCGAAGTGTATCGCCTCCTCGGCGGCAATCCCATTGCATGCTTGAAGGCGACATTACAACAGCATCAACGTAGGACACTCTGAATAGTACGTCCGTGGTTGTGATTCATGTCTAGGAAAGCATGTAGCCCAGTCGCCAGGCCTTGGCGATGTCGGATGCGACGATGATGGCACTGTCGGCATCGATGGCGAAGGTACAGTGCGTGCCAGCGGCGTGGTTGCCACTGAAATTGCGACAGCAGATCCAATCTGTGAGCATCATGGTGAGCACAGCTCACAAGGACAGACCGCCGCCACAAGTTTGAAGCGAGTTCGCCAACCACCATCACAGAAACCTAACAAGCGGTCCAAGTAGTTTATGTCTTTGCTAACGTGCCAGTATGTATCTATCACTAGTTGCTACGAACTACTGTATGTAGACTATGAGACTATAGGTCAATCATCGGAGCAACTGGTGACGACGGTTTCAGTGTCTAACGTTATTCACCGTTTGAGCAGAGTGAAACAAGTTCTACCAATAAGTTTTGTGACTTATGTATGGAACGACCAATTCTTTATCCTGCCCACACCACCCACTACACTCGGAGAGCTCCGCTTCTCACCAAGGTATAAGCTGCTGATGCTGGGGCAGCGAATGAACTCGCCGGTCGTGGGGTAGAGATTTGTAGGCATTTTGGTGAGAATTTTAGCCAATAAGATACTGACCCAGAAGTTTTGAAACCGCCGTAACCAAATCCATTGCGAGATTTCGCCAAACCAGATCCCTCGTCGCCAAGCATACATGGTGCTCAAGTCTGGGAAGCTCGAAAAGGTAGGCCACACTCATCAAACTATGACCAGTGAATCTCATGTGCGTGTTGCAGCATTCGCAAACGATCTTTGGCTCCAAGTGGAAGGTGAAGTGGGTCCACTTGGACGAAGCTACGTTGAAATGCTACCCCATGGCAAGTTTGTCGTGGCCCTCTCATGTATCTATCTCACAAGGAAGTGTTTGCAGGTGGTCAACCAGCAGGTGTTTCAAGGTGCCAAGTCCAAGCTCATCCAGTTGGACGAGTATACCGTGTCCATGCTTGATGAGGTATAGAACATAGTACGCATCGTGGCCCGAATCCGGCCTAAATTGCTGGCGTAGAGCAAATTCCACCGCAAGCATTGTTTTCAACTCACGGGAAAGCAAAAGGTAACGAGTGGGCAAGCAATATACAATCGTGAAACTTATCGTGAGGATGGTAGCAAAAGACCAAGATCTTTGCATGTTCCAGTGACCGAGACTGCCTCGAGTGGGTCGGCGCAATCTTGGTTCGTGTTCAATACATGTAACCATAGAGACATTGACTTTTTCCCCATAGAACCCGCATGTGGCCAAAAAGTCCAACCAAGCCGACGACGACGACGACGGCAGCGAGTACATCATCCCGTGCGTTGCCACAGTATAACTTACATGTCAACTCCATCGTTAGAGATAATACAGCTGTGCGCCGCGCAAAGGCAGCGTTCGCCAAGGTACACCCAGTAGCGGAATATAGTCATATGCACTAACGAACTCGACATGTTGTAAAGCTCGATGCTGGAAACTCTGGCACGATTGACAGCACGCGGCTGCATGAGCTGCTTGACACGATATCCTTTCAATCTGTATAGTCTGCTCTATTTTTTTTCGTACATTCGAGTTGACTTACATCCCAGCTGCACATGGGCTGGCACGGCGGCAGCGATCAAGTGGGCGTCATTCAGCACGTGTTGGATCCACACTCGACTGGTAATAGCCCCCCTTCCCTTTCCGTGGAATCTTTCAGCCAGCCTAACCGCCCTTATGCTCAGGCAAAATCGCACGTACCTTGTTTGCAACGTGGGCCCGCGCTCACTTTGTCGAAGCGGCAGCCCCCCCCGCCGCCCCCTCTCCAGTCCCAACACCGTCCAAGCCTTCCACCGGAGTCACGGACTGGAACGAAATGTACTGGGAACTCCTTCGGTCGGCATCTCCTGTCGTCCCGAAAGGTCTGAGCATGTCCCATATGATGAAGGAGTTTCACGATGCCGCCGACTCGTTTGCGCGGAGTGTGGTGGACGACTTGCTGCTGCATCCGGCTGCTTCGTCTGCAATCGACCCGCCATCCCCTCACCACGACCTCGTCGGGTACAACGACTGCACGTTGTTTGCCGCCAACGGCCTCTATGCTGTGGTGTACCCGCCGCCTTTGTCTTCGTCGCAGCAAGCTGCCAAGTCGCTCGGCCATGATATTCGAAGCAGTCGCGTGCTGCTGTCGGCGCTTGAGGCGGTGGAAGGCGCAGCCACGGACTTGGCCATCCCCGTGCAATGTGTTGTCGATTACATGGGCGTTCGCGTTCTCGTGGTTGCCCAAGTGCTGCAAGCTAGCACCACGACGTGCCACATCATGGCAGACACCCACGCCGCGGCGTCCTTTCGCCGCGTGCTCCATCAGTTGCACGTGTGCGACCTGGACGACAATGTGGCCGACATTGTGCCGTTTGAAACGCACTTGGTGCAAAGTCAGGGCAGGCTCGTGCTCTCCAAGCTGCGTCACGTATGCGCCCCTGATGTACTTCATGAGTCGGACGATGCCAATGGATTCGATCAAACGCCATCAAAACACTCGGCGTCGTTGACTGCTTGGAAGCTCCGACCAGAGTACATCCGGCAGTACCACACGCCGTTGTACTCGAATGCGTACCGTCAAGAGTCGACCCCCGCGCAGGACAACATTGTCGCATGCGCGAGCCACTACATGCAAAAATCTGTCCTCCCTGCATGTGTCCATCGATTGGAGTCATCGCCGGCTACTCTCGTTGGCCAGAATTTCTTTGATTCGGCGTCGTTCACCTCCATGTTGCATGCGGACGGAATCAACATGCGGTACCTCGGGCGCATCTACGACCTCGCGACGCTCAAGCACGTTCGCCGCCTCGTCATGACGGAAATGGTGGCGCGCGTGGCCAAGGTTCTGCTGCGCGCCATGCTCCGGGAAGCGCCGACGCATTGGCGCGCGCTGGCCACGGACTTGTTTAACGTGCTGTGCGGCGCGGGGCCGGACGCCGTCGACTTTTACCAGAGTCAAATTCAACCGACCGTGGAGCTCAAGTTTGGCGTCGCGACGCCCCACAACCTTCGACACGAGTTGCACATGCCGCAGCTGTTATTGGCGCTGCAGCACCACACTGGCGTCCAGATGGACCTCCCTGTGGCGATTAACTCGCAGTTTTTAGTGGACGATGCGCGCCACCCTCCATTCCGAACCCACCATGCGATCGCGGTGACATCGAGCGTGACGCTGGTCTGCACGACCACGTCGGTGTGCCAGGGCATGATCCAAGACACTGTCGTGTCGGACTCGATGGACGAAGACGCGTTGGAAGTCGCGTTGACCAACCTCAAGTTGGCGCTGGCGGTGGAGCAGGCGTGCCCCACCGACTCGCGTCACGTGCGGCTCTGTCACCTTCTGGTGCAAGCTGCCGAAGTCAGTTTGCGTGTGGATGCGGCCGACGACGCGGGTACGAGTGTGCCTATAGAACCTCAACTGACTGACTTTGGGGTTGTAGAAACGTTTGCGTCGCTGGCGTTGGAGGAAGGACCGACAGGACATGCGCTTCGGTCGCGCGCGTATGTCGTGTTGATGCGCCTGCATCATGCCAAAGAGGATATGGCCAGCGCCTTGCGCTCGTTTGAAAAGGCCCTGGAGGCTGCCACGTGGCACTTGGGGGCGAGTCACCCCGTGGTGCTGGGGGTGCTCTTGTCGCTCGTTGCCATTTGGATCGACCGCCAAGAGTGGCTCAAAGCGCTCAACATTCTCGACCACTGCACAACGGTACAAGTACAATGTGAAAAATCAATTTTTCGTGACCAAAGTCAATTTTCCCTTCGCAGGTTGTGAAAGAAGCGTACGGTCGGTATACGATTCAATACGCCCAACTCCGTTGCCAGCAAGCCCGGGTCTTGCACACACTGGGCCAACTCGACCAAGCCGTGAGCATGTTTGAAGACGCTCTGGCTATCTACGAAGGTATAGATACAACCGATTCAAAACGTTGCGCCCTTGTAATCATTCGTTCGTTTGTATGACGTGGCAGAGCTACCGTCGTGCGTCGTGGAAAGTGCCGACTGCTGCTCGGCCATGACGGCCATATTCCTCGACATGGCATCGCTGCAGCCGGCATTCAACATGGCAATGAAGACACACGACCTGCGGGTCTCGTCCGGCGACACGGACGCCATCTTGGCCTCGTGGATGCAGCTGGGGGCGTGCTCCAAAGCGCTACACGACGACTTCCGGGCTATCGAGTACTACAAGTCGGCCCTCGCGCTGGTCAAGGCGAACCAGGCGGCGATTTCCGACGCTGTCCAATGCATACAAGACATTTCCAGACAACTCTTGGCGCTGGTGTTCCAGACGCTGTCCCCCGAAGCCAAGCAGGTATATATATGTATATCCCCGCAATGTAGAAACTGACGGCAAGTGTAGTGTGTGGACAAGGTCAGCCGCAAGGAAAAAGCAGTGTCGAACGACCTCTTGGAGTTTGTCGTGGCCCAATTGTATGCACTGGACGCCCCTCAGTACCTTGATATGATCTTTCAAGACCTGCTCCGGGAAGCAGGCACTCCGTCGATGGCATTGTTTGAAGACTACCCAAGCGACATGCAACTCCGCGGCGCCCAACACCTCCTCAATCTATGATATCCCAAGTGTACTACCCCTTCATCACTGGTTTTAACGTAGCAGCACTTGTAATTAGCTCAAACAGAACCATACCTAGTACTACAGTATACCGGTATATAATCGATTGCAAGATTTATAACCTAGAGACAAACTATGCCACAAGATGGTGGTGGGGATGAATATAATATTAACAAGTACTGTACATTAACGCCATACGTATTATGACGACGCGCTGCCTTCCGACACGGTACCGTCGTCGAGGATCTGCGGCACCGACACCGGTTTGAGATACTGTTTGCCGTCGTGGTACCCCACGGCAATGACCCCTGCGATGCCGTCTACAATCGACTTCATCATGGCAAACGTGTGCTTCTTTTGGACGTTGGGTTCGACCTGCCACAGCTTTTTGGTCGTGTGGCTGTAGTGACTTAGAATCGGCGACAACCGGCTCTCGTACGCCTTGGGGGAATGGGTGGCTGTAAACAAACTCAAACACACGGCCACGTAGATCGCGCCAGCTTGAAGCGCGCGGCAAAAGTTGGCTTGATTTGCATCTTCTTCCGCGTCCCCCAAGATGTAGACGAGCTCGCCAAAGATGGCCGGGAACGGGGACGTGGCATACTCCCGCGGCAGCAACGCCGTCAACGACGCCTCCAGTCCAAGCGTCCATCTACAAAGTGCAAAGTGAAGGGCAAAGTGCCGATTGTCAACACGTACGAGTCCCACGAGATGAGCTCGCCCTTGCGCTGCTTGTTGCGTAAAATGTCAATCACGACGCTGTCCACAGCATCTTTCGACTCCTTTACACATAGCGCAAACGCCTGGATGTAGTCGAAGCCAGCCATGTTGGCCTCGAACTCATCGTTGGCCTTGTCGCGCGACGAGCCCTTGCGCGGCGGCGACACGTCCCCGTCCTCATCCTCGATCAAGTCGTGCTTGACAAATCGCCCTTTCACTCGTGGCCGCGTGTCCGCCAGAGTCTTCCGCACGGGGTACTTGAACCATTTGTGTCGAGACAATCGCTACATTTGGGGCCATCACAACGTGAACTTTCATGAATTGAAAACTATTACTTTGGAACGCTTGAGAAGGTATCGATCCAGCATGAGTCGCCGGCTGCGCGGCGTGTACAGCCCAATGCGATGGCCACCGCTCGCGACGCCTTCTTCCTCTACTTCGTCGTCTGTCGGTTTCAGAATTGCCAGCGTCGATGCGGCGGCGTTCGCGGCGTCCGTGGCAGTCGGTGTCGACATGTTCAACCTGTCACAACCGTTATATTTTGATCTTCGTTGAATACAAACTACCGTTCCGACGACGCTTCGGTGCGTTTCATGGAGCTGAGTACGTTGGCCGCGTCGTCATCGTGGTCATCCTGGGGCCGACGACGGGCATCTCTTGTAGGCTCGTCCTCTTCGTCCGAGCTGTATACGGGGATGGCAACTTTGGACAGAGGGGGAGGGGGCTCTTGCTCCGCCTTCAAGTCTGGCAGCGGCGGGCGCGGCAAAAACGAGTCCGTGGCGGCGGCGTTGGTCGCCTCGTGGTGGCGAAAGTAGATTGGAGGGGGTGGCAATTGCGTGTGCGCCTTGTACCCGTCGCTCCCTCGACGGGGCGCCGACGCATGGTACGTTGAATGATGCGACGTCGGGGGGTACGACATGTGGTGGTGATGATTGGAGAGGTGCTTGGACACGCTGCTCTTTTGATACACAGGAGGCTGCGAGTACGGCACCGACGACGCGGACGCAGACGGAGGGTACGGCATAGCAGCAGTCGATGGAAAGCTGCCATTGGACAACAGCGATGGTTTGGCATCTCGATAGTACGACGGGTCGTCGTGGGTTCTGCTAGACTTGGCATGAAGTTGGTGCGGCTGCAGGTGGTGGTGGTGGCTTCGGGCCGACGAGTCGTCTGCTGCACTACTGCGGACAGCATAGTCGTCGTCGCGGTATGATTGGTGGGGAAAATCACTGACGCGCCGCAGCGGGTGGTGGCTGCTGCCATTGTTGGTGACGCGCAGGGGATACAGTGTCGAGGCGCGGTAGTCAGCGTCGTCCGGGCGTGGGAGATACCCCTGGGAAACGTAAGTTGGTCCATGGTGGTACGCGGAATGGGCTAGTTGGGCTTGGGCGTCCACGAGTTGGCCTTCCAGTTTCCGGTTCTTGTACTGCATCGCCCGAAGCGCCTCTTCCAGCTCTTCGATGCGCCGGGTTTGGCGATCAATGTAATCCAGCAGTTTTTGGTTTTCTCGTTGCAACTGGTGGTTCTGTTCCTGGAGGTCCCCCACAGCATCGAACGGCGGCGGCGAGTGGCGGGACGGTTGATGCAAGTCGCCGCTGTGATGAAACGACGACGGCAAAAATCCGTTCGACGACGAAGGTGCTGCTGGCAACGGCTGATCGTGTCGAGGAGGAGACTGCTGAGGTCGAATGGGGCGAAGAGCCAAGGCGGCGGGGGCCGGAGCAAGAGGTCGGAGCACTGGCGACGGTTCGGTCAGACGCTGGGGCGAGTCGCGGAGCAGGGCGGCTGGAAACGCGGGTATCTCTGCTGACGACGCGCGATGCAGCGAAGGAGAAGGCGAGTACGTGGAGGCAGCTTCAGTCGCGAGCCCTGAGTTGACATGCGATTTCTGCGGAGCTTCGGGGTCGATCGTGAGGACACACTGCGGACATACCCATTCGCCTGGAGGAATTTGCTCCAGCGGCGGATTCAAGCAATACGTGTGAAACACTACAACAAAGTCAATGCGTGGCCATGCCCGAAGACAAGGTACCTTTGTCACAAGCGTCACAAATGAGCGACAGGTCGTCGTTTTCGTTGATGTGGCACACTTCACAGAGGTCCGCAACGCTTTCGTCGTCGTCGAGATCGTCATCGTCCTGGTCACGTGGCTGCTTTCGCTTGGCCGCCTTGGAGTCTTTGCCCAGCTTACGTTTCTTCGTTGGTTTCCTGTCGCGGCGACCGTTGACGTCGTCACTGCCGTCGTTGCTTTGCTCACCGTCTATGGTGTCGGACGTACTGCTTCGTCCGCGCGTTCGACGTGCCATTGGTGCCGGAGACATGCCGTGGCTCATGGCTGGGCTGGGCTGCTGGTCCTGCTGCGCGTCGACGCCTGCCAAGTCGCCGTCAGGTTTGGCCATCACAGCCGTGCGTTTTGTGTGCAGTTTCTTGGGATTCTGGCTTTCTGGGACGTGGGAATATTCGCTTATTTTTAGCCAATCACGTGACAGTCCTCTGACCCCATCAACGATTTCGTCGGTGGTTCTGGGCCGTCCATGTATACTCAAGTCAAGTGGTGGCCATTAGTGCTCCCAGACGCTTTGAAAATGCCAATCAAATCGACAGACCAGCTACATAAAACGTGTTGTGGCAATCCACGTGTGGACGGACTGCCACGACTGCGTTGGCAATTAAAGGGCAACTTCGTTGGGTGGCGGTAAGTGGTGGTGGAGTGAGTGATAGGAAAGGCGCCACTTGAGCACCATTGGTGGGTTTTATGGGAGATGTACTGCGTTAAACGTGAGTACTTACAGTGTAGGATCGGAACATAGGCCACAATGGATGGACGAGAATTTCAATGGATTGTACAGAGTTGCTATGATGCAGCAAAAAAACACTGTCGTGGACGATATTCATAAGAGTTGTGGGTATCTATACGCTGTGACGTAGAGGGCCAAAATCTATCGGTCGAGTACGATCGATATTGGTTGTTGTCGTACAACGAACAACCATGTTAGTGGCTGTCCCAGTTTAACGTCAAACCAACGGTAATGGTGAACTGCGTTTTTTATGAATGTTTGTAGTTTGGTCGACCATTATCAGCGTATTACGGTATGTACTGTACAGTACAGCTCTTGGATAGTTGAGTTGTTGTTACCGAGGTATGTATCCCTCTCTGGACCATGAGGTTGGCATGCTGGTGTTTCGCTGGCGAGGAGTTCTCACTTGGAAGTCCAATTCAATAGCCCAACACAATTCGTAGGAGAGAGGGACAAAGAAACTCGTATCGAATCACACGGCAGACGAGGGAATTCAAAAACCAATCGAGAATTCCACCATGGTTAGATCGACACAATAGTGAAGCGTGTTCTCGAATATGATGAAACAAGTTCGTCGGGTGGACGGTGACGCCCCAAAGCATATCCCCATGCTATGTACGTAGTGTTGTGTTGCTGACTCAATCGTGGCTGGCTCGATAACCTCAATCAACCAGCTTTTATGCCCATGATGGTACAATGCTGACGGGTTTGATGTGTGGTAGTCGCATCGCCTCTACGATACGGCTATCTTCACTGAATTGTGAAAAGTCCATCGCGAAACGTCCGGAACGTTTCACGCGCGACAAACGAGGACGACATTTGAAGTGTGTGAAGTAGTTACACCGTCGATCCGGTTCGAACGGTTTCTGCGGACCGGGGGCTTGCTGAGATTTCAAACGTCTTGATCAAGACTGCTCGGTGGTATTGAGTACTAGTACGTGGCACCTTAGTATCTGGTGCTTCGATCGAACATTCGACGAGCGAACGTTATGCTAAATCTTGACCCCACAACTACAATGACCGCCCAGCATCGTATCGCAGTATTGGCAATGCAGAGCTAATCAGCTATGGCCATCACTGCGGAGCTACCTCAGGTTGCGGATGTACAGTACATAGCGTTGGACCTGCAGTACTACCTACCCCTTGGTGGTCGTGTTCGATATTTTTTATATATTTTGGGCGTAGATGTAACATACCTACACTGTACTACACCACAGTAGGTTGAAGTACCACGAGGTCATTTCAACCGAGTGACTGGTGGACACAGCTTCACAGCCCTGTGCGCAATGGTTACTTGGATCCCTGACGTGTATTGGCGATGCTACGTCAATGGTGTTGCGAGTCTCGTTGGTCATGTAGTAATGTGAACAGTACTTACTGCAGGTGTTTCAAGGCCTAGCGAGCGAAATCGAACGTCCAGAGGACTTCAACATGGCATTGAACTTGTTCTGCCCGTGACGACGCAAGAGTAGTGTATGATCCAGATCGAGTAGCACTGGGACTGATTTCGGTACAGATAAATAGCATTACAGGTCTGTACTACATGCAACAGCACCACCAAATGTCGAAAGTCGAGCAGATTCTGCGCGTCATCGAATGAACGACCCTCATATATATATCCCATTTCAAAACTTTCATCGTCGTCGACACCCCACCACCACTCTCCGTAGTACTACACGACACCACCGCACTGCTTCTATACACTATGATGCCTTCCGTTGCCAACATGACCAAGCCGTCCAAGATGGCTGGTCATACACAACACATGCACCACAACTTGCCGCCCATGACGCCAATCCCGCTCACTGGTCCCCGCCGCATTGGATCGTGGCCGCTCGAGGAAATCAAGTACACTCATTTTCTGTCCGCGCTGTTCAAGTCCAGTCGGCTGGAAAACGTGCCGAGTGGCACGAGCCTTCGCCAATGGCTGGGCAAGCAACTCAACTGCGCCCCCATGCGCTTGAGCAAGAAGTTCGACAAGGTATCAGGCATGCTCGGGCTCGTCAAGTTTGAAGTGCGCCAAGACGTGCTGGATGCTATGACCCCCGCCCAGCGCCGCGCCCAGATCAAGGAAATGCACGACCTACGTACCAAGCTTGAGGTCGCCGTCGCGAGGGAGATGGCAGGCTTGAAGCCGTTGGCCCATCACTTGGAAAAGCACGGGCGACCCATGGTGTCCGCAAGTGTCATGCACGCATCGCCCAAGAAGAATCGCGCTCGCAAGTTTACTAACGACGACAACGACATCCTGTTCAAGGGACGATTGTCGCTGACTTCCATGCTGCAAAGCACGGGGGACATCGTGCCGCGCAAGTCGAATCGAAATTGTGTCCGTCGTAGCTACTCGTACGACTCATCCGACGAGTCTGAGGTGGGGATTAAGGACGAACACATGGAGCCTTCCATGGAGCCATTGCCATTTCATCCCCCCACCGCAACGTCAGCAGCCGCCGATTGGAACGCCGCTGCAGAATGTCATATCACGGGGCGGCCTAGTGCCGCGTTGACGTTGGAAGACCTCGAATGGATTGGCCAGTTCATGGACGATTTGCCTTCGTTGGACACGACGGGGGACGCATTTTGGACGTCGATCCGTGAAATCGACTGCCTGAATCCGTACTCAACCCAGCTACTCGACACGTCCACCGAACAAACCCCGTCGACCTAACAATATACGTGCATTCAGGATATAGCTGAAGTATTTTAACGCGCACAACATAGCCTTTTTTAAAAGTAATCAGTCACCAGCTGACCAGAAACATTCACACTGGCGAAATGTCCTTGAAACACCATAATGGCAATACCGTAATTTCATATACCCGCTTAGAATACATATTACATCGAACCTTTATAGCAAACTACCTGTAGAATTTGTTGGAGGTGGAAGTAGGGGTTGGGGTTGTTACCCCATCCCTTTGTGGGAAAGTACAATTCAATACAAATGGCAAGTTTAACATGATGCCGTTTGTATCCGGGAATCCGGATAATCCTGCTCAGGATGTCATCGGGTGTTGCGAGCCGCCCAACACCACTGACAGAATTGACAGGTTCCGCCGCAACTCTCATCATGCTCAGCCGTCAAACACAAGCCGTCCGACGGATGTCGGCGTCCGCCAAGGTGTGGATCAACAAGGACACCAAGGTCATCTGTCAAGGGTTCACCGGCAAGCAAGTACGTTTATAAGTCCATACCCACGATGTCGGGAGGTATTCACCAGTAGTGGTTGTACTAGGGTACCTTCCATTCGGAACAAGCGATCGCATACGGCACCAACTATGTCGGCGGCGTGACCCCCAAGAAGGGTGGTACTACCCATTTGGGTCTTCCCGTGTTCAACACGGTGCAAGAAGCTAAGGACGAAGTGGGCGCGGAAGCGTCCATCATCTTCGTGCCCCCGCCCTACTGCGCGCAAGCCATCATCGACGCCATCCACGCCGAAATCCCGTTGATCGTCGCTATTACCGAAGGCATCCCACAACAGGACATGGTCAAGGTGAAGTGGCACTTGAACCAGCAATCCGCGTCGCGCTTGATCGGGCCCAACTGCCCCGGTATCATCAAGCCCGGTGAGTGCAAGATGGGCATCATGCCTGGTTACATCCACTCCAAGGGTAAGATCGGTATCGTGTCGCGTTCCGGCACTTTGACCTACGAAGCCGTGCACCAAACGACCTCCACTGGTTTGGGTCAATCGACCGTCATTGGTATCGGCGGGGACCCGTTCAACGGCACGAACTTCATCGACTGCTTGGAACGCTTCACCAACGACCCGGAAACCGAAGGCATCATCATGATCGGTGAAATCGGCGGGACCGCCGAAGAAGAAGCCGCCGAGTGGCTCGCCGAATACGGCGATCCCAACAAGCCCGTGGTCAGTTTCATTGCCGGCATCACGGCCCCGCCCGGCCGCCGCATGGGTCACGCCGGTGCCATCGTCTCTGGAGGCAAGGGCACGGCCGAAGGCAAGTTCGCCGCTTTGGAAAAGGCCGGTGTTGCCGTCACCCGGTCCCCTGCCCGCCTCGGCACGACCATGTTGCAACAATTCGCCAAGCGCGCTGGCAACTAAGCCCGTTGTCGTTGTGCATTGGTTGTATGTAGCCATATCCCCATTATACCCTTGAAAATACTATGCAGTAATATGCATGCTCGGATGGGATGTACTGTTGGTAGGTGTAAGATTGGGTGTACAGTAACGGTACTCTGGGCTGTCGTAATGTAGTGGACGGTACAGTTTACGGCTTTGCCTGGCCAACGGAATAAAACGTCGTGGTGTGTAGGACACGTTTTACGTTAAATCGTTTCTTTGTATGCAGTCTAATTTAATTGTACATGACGGGGAGAGGACATATATTGCATCACGCAGAGTTTGTAACAAAGGAGTTGGTAGATGGCTCCTAACGTTACCGGTAGTACCCGAGTACAGGGCCTAGCGGTACAGTAGTAGGTACACTGTTAAAGAGCTTCATCGCAAGGAAACGACGGACATGAGGTGAATGTTTAACCCATAAAACAAGTAACTAGTAATGCGTTATATTTAATTACAGACGTACTATCAAGTGTTGGAGGCACTCCGCATGACATAATTATCTTTGACAATCCGATCGCAAAGATGCTCAAGCGCAAGCGAGACGACGACACGGAGAATGAGATCATGCATGTGAACGGACGACACCATGCAATGGGCATCAACGATCGTCCCTCCGCAGTCGTCGAAGTTGCTGTTGGGGTGTCGGTGCTTGTATTCGGGAAGCATGCAGCGGTATGTAGGCATCATTGGTGGTACTGTGGTCCGACGACGTCGTCTTGAACACATGCTTGCAGGTGGTGAGGTACATGACAAATTCCGCGGAGCCCCCTCTTGTGGGTGTCGAATTCCTTCGGCCAGTGGGCAATTGCGACGGTATGTGGAATTCCAAGCGCTTCTTCCAGTGCAAGTTGAACCGTGGCATGTTTGTGCGCAAGGACCAGGTTGAGGTAGGCACATACTCTCGATGCTGCTCATCGTCAATGACTCTCCATGCTCATCCTCCATGTCAATCATTCGTTCCTTATCATTCATGCTTGTTGCAGCCTTTCTCTACGCGCGATGCGGCGGCGTGCACCCTCCAAGCCATGTGGCGTCGTCGAAAGCAAACGTTGGCGGTACTGCACACGCGAGACTAACCGTGTCGTGACGTTGATGTGTACGTAGTTCAAAACACTTGTGCTGACCCAAACGTGGAACACATTGGACAACCACCAAGAACAGCTCAACCTCAAGCGCGCCGAGCAGACCAAGTCCGCGTGCGACGCGCTCTCGATCCTGGCCAAGGAATTGGTACATTGTCCTTGAATAGTATTTGGCCCTCATCTATGTTTAGGTGCTGTCCAAGCCCCCACTCCCGCGAACTCTTTCCGAGCTGCCGACGACGTACGATGGCCCCGAGTTGCACTGGCCCCTCACACTCCCAAATGTCCTCTCCATGATGGAGCACTTCAAATTAGGCCACGTCATGCATGCCACGTACGTTCCCATCCAACAAACCCTTGCCGTGCATACTGCACGCCATACTGAATGGCAATATGAAAAGTCCATGTGACACTGTGTGCTCTTGTGACTAGATATGTGATGGAGGTGCTGGCACAAGCTACGCCCCTCTTCAAAGCATCCCCGACCTTGCAGCACGTGGACGTCGGACCTACTGACCGACTGACCATCATTGGCGATTTGCATGGTCAATTGCAGGTACAGTGCAAACCTGGATTCGTGCATGTATCAATATATATATATATATATCTTCTAGGTTTGTGCCTATATATATATATATTCTAATATGCAACCTTGTATAGGACTTGTACTGTATTCTGCTGACCAACGGGCTACCGTCGGGGACCAACAAGTACCTGTTCAACGGAGACTTTGTGGACCGAGGTCACTTTGGAGCGGAAGTCGTGCTCGTCTTGCTGTGCTTTAAACTGCTATATCCTAACGGAGTGTTCCTAAACCGAGGGAATCACGAGTCGCGCAACCAGAACTCGTGGATGGGGTTTGAAGAAGAGATTCTGCGCAAGTACAACACCACACCAACCACCGCCACAACCAACCAAGCCGTGACCGTCTTGGCGGGGTTCCAGGTACCCCTGTCTACTACTAGTACTAGTACTAGTCCTAGTACTAGTAGTACCACTAGTAGCTCATGGGCCGTTTGTTGTAGGACATGTTTGACACGTTGCCACTGTGTGCGCTTGTGCTAAATCGCATCTTCATCGTGCACGGCGGGCTCTTCTCGGCGCGTCACGTCACGCTGGACCAACTCAACCACGTCGACCGGTTCCGCGAACCCCCGCTGCATTCCAAGCTCGACCAAGATCGGTTGTTTGAAGAGATGTTGTGGAGCGACCCCCGCACGATTCATGTATATATCACCCTTCAATATATATATATATTTAGGATGACCGATCGCGTAGGGCCAACAAGCGTCGGTGCGCGGGGCGGGCGTCGAATTCGGCGAAGACGTGACCAACGAATTCTGCAGTGTGAACAAGGTAGCGCTCGTGATTCGATCGCACGAGTGTGTGCCGGAAGGGTACGCGGTGCTGCATGGCGGGCGGCTCATCACGCTGTTCTCAGCGTCCAAGTACTGCGGCACGCAGATGAACAAGGGTGCATTTTGCAGTCTCAAAGCCGACTGCCGGCCTGAAATCCAGCAGTTTATTGCGCCGCCGCTTCACACGTACAGTCGGGTCAAGCCCATGTTTCCCCAGTACAACAGCGTCGGCGGCGACCTCCATTTGGCTCATGAGGTCGTCAACGAAGCCGACATGTCCGCTGACACGACGATGCATGCGTCGCTGGAAGAAGACTCGCTGCGCATGATTGCCGAGCGCATTTGCGAACACAAGTCGGACCTGTTTCGGTACTTTACCCAGCACGAACATGCGGCCAGGAACGGCCGCGTGTCCCGCGTCGTGTGGGCCGACGCGCTCAAAGCCGAGCTCAAGCTGGACCTGCCCTTCCTTCTCTACCAGTCCAAGCTCGTGGACGTGGAAGCGGACAACACGATCAACTACTCCAAGTATGTTTGTACCTACATAGGAAGTGCTGTTGAAGTGCTATATGTGATGCTGATAGAGATATGGTTAGGTTCTTGTCCCGGTATCGCATTGAAAACCCCGCGATGGACTCGACGGGATGGCAAGCCAATATGATTGCCACGATTTGCAAAAAACTGTATCGGGCCATGGGCGCCGGCAGCATCCAACATGTACGAACATTATACTGGTCCAGATGATGATAAATTTTATATATGAATATATATATATATATTATTTTATGTAATATATATATATATATCCATGGTTTTGTAGGCATTTCAGATCTTTGACACGGACGCAAGTGGGTCGATAGAATACGACGAGTTTGCCCATACATTGAAGCAATTGGATACCGGACTGTCCGATAAACAGGTAAGCTCTCGGTATATCACACCTCTCAAATGTCTCGAATAGTAGTAGAACTAGTAGTACTAGCACGGCATTCTACTTGGGTTAGATTTACGAATTGATGCGCACGGCCGACACGAACGACGACGGGCGGCTCGACTTTAAGGAATTCGTATCCCGCTTTGAAGTGATTTTCAAACATGTACGGGCTCCCAACCGACTAGCGAGCAGCCCCCCGACATCGCCATTGGCATCATCATGCGCCGCCGCCGACATGATGAGTCCCTCCAAGCTCCGGCGGCGCAAGTCGTCCATGGATGCAGACATGCCCGGGATCGTTCCTAGTAGTAGTAGCAGTACTAGTAGTACTACTAGTAGGCCGATGTCCCCACTTCCTCCACAAATGTACAATCAACACCCTCTGGACAAGGACACGATGGTCGCGCTCCTCGATATTGGCAAGGCGGTGCTTTCCCTAGACCAGTCGCTCGACGCTGTGTTCCAGTCGTTCGACACGAACGGCGACGGCGTGCTCCAGCGGGACGAGTTTGAGGCGGCGCTGACGTCGCTGGGCATTGCGATGCCCGCTGCGCTGCTACACAAGGTCGTCGCGGCCATCGACTTGGACGGGGGCAACACGATCGACTACAAGGAGTTTCTGGCGGCGTTCAGCGTCGCCGACATGCGGACGGACCGGCGGGGGGTGGGGGACGAGATGACGTGGCAGGACACGATCCTGCAGCAGGTCGCGGGGCTGTTTTACCAGCACCGCATCCACATCCGCATGTGCTTTCGCCTGTTCGACCAGGACAATTCGGGCTGCATCGACCGCGACCAGTTCCGGACGGGCATTGCCGAGTTCAACACGATCCTCGACTCGCCACTGAGCGCCGACCAAATCGACGCGCTGCTGGTGCATCTCGACAAGAACGGCGACGGCGTGATCAGTTACAAGGAGTTTTTAGAAGGGTTCCAAGTCGTGAGCATGGAGTCGTAACTAGCTCGAAGATGTTTGAATCCACGAGGACAGCACTGCACGACCTCGTGTATGTCAAAGTGTCCTGCAGAGTGTCCTGCCGCCCATGAGTCGGTAGTGCATAGTGGAGGCCACCACCCGCTCCATCATCGTCTCAACGGGCACCGCGCCACAACCAATGACACACACTCTTGAACTTCACCTTCCCAGAGGTCCAAACAATCTATCTACGATAATGTATACGATACAAACGGCAGTATATCCGTAGATCGCTACATTTTCCACGTCAACGACATTGAATGTGTTCGACGATCCTTGGTCGATTGCAAGTTAGCACCATCGCTACACGCAGTAGAAGCAGCAGCAGCAGAAGCAACTCCACGCGGTGCTACGTGGCTCCATGAACGTCTGCAGCCTTCCACAGGTCGATCTAACGACACCCACGACCACCATGACTATCAAGAGTGAACCGGTGTTGCACTCCATGCGGCAGCAACCCTATGAGGTGCCTCGTCGCTCTATCATCCAATGCACTTGTGGGTCGGAGTCAGTCGAAGGCTACACTGGCGACTGGGTCCAATGCTGGACCGAGTCGTGTGGCACGTGGTTCCACGCAACGTGCGTCATGGACGCACTTCGACCTTTAACTCCATTCCAATGTGCACCTTGCAGACGAGGAGGACAGGCGGCGGTCACTTCAACGGATCTTCTCGGCCAACCCCGTCCCAACATGAACGCGTTCTTGTACATGTGCTGTAAGAACAACGCCAGTCGCGCGTTCCACCAAGCCATGGCCTCGGTCCGGACGGACTTTCTCAAGTACACGCAACACGACGAGTGCAATGGGTTTGTGGTGGCCGCGACGGTCGGGGCCAAGGCTATCTTGGAAGATTTGACAGTCCTGTTCACAACACACCAGGTCCAAGATGCACGGAGTGTGAACCTCTGGAAGCAAACGCCCCTGCATGTAGCCATCCTCGGCGGCCACTTGCCCTGCATCCCCTTGCTCGCTACCTTTGACCCGCGGTGGTTCCACGTCCCCGACGCCTACCGCGCCCTTCCCACCGACTACATGATGCATCTGTACCCGGCCCACGTCGAGGCATGGTTGCGCGACATGCCATCGCTGCCCTTTATCGTGAACGCCATCACGGGCAACTCCCTGGTCCATTCGTTGTGTACGATTCTGCCTGACAACTTTTCGACGCTTTTGCGTTTGCTTCCCAAAAAGCTGCTGTCGGCAGTGAACCACCATGGCCAGACCCCGGCCATGATGTTGGTACCGCGCCCGGGCGTCCGCCGCGAGCACTTTCACGCGATGATGCAGCATGGTTCATCAGCAACAACTCCAGCAACTAGAACGTGGTGGACTCAAGTAGACGACCAAGGACACACGGTGCTGCATCTAGCATTGATTCACAAACTCGCTTGGGTGCTCGAGTTGGCAGACTTGACTGCATTTCGGTCGTTCCAGTTGCTGCACATGGCGGCGGAGTTGGGGTTGGCGTCGGCGGTGACGCTCTTGGTCCAGGCAGGCTTTTCCCCGCTGGAGTCGCTTCGTTCTGGAGCAACGCCTTCTGAAACCAGCAACTCCACGATACCCATCATGCTCGCGTCGACACCGAGTTGCGTGCTGGAGCTTCTGCGCGTAGAGACCTTGGCCCAGCTAGAGTGCGTGGTGGAGCTCAGCCGATCGAGCCGGCGGCATGGACCGAGTGTGTATCGGGTGCTCCACGCCATGGTAATACACATGCCGCTGTTCGACTTTGTCCAATCGGTGGCCCTCGCCAATCCTCGTGTGTACCTCAGTTCCAACTGCTTGTTCCTCCAGCGCTTCCGCAAGTGCCTGCGATTAGACGTCAAATTGCTGCAACTGTCTATGCATGTCGCCGGCGTTCTGAAACGCATGACGGGCCGCACGACGCTGACCATCCCGTCCGACGATAAGCTGTGGACGAGCATTCAACAGCAGAGCCAACGAGACGACGTGGATTGGAACCAGCCTGTGACACTGTACGTCGTGGCGTCCAAGGCGGTGTATCTTACCACAGACGACCACATGTGGAAGCTGTTGGCGATGCAACTGCGACAACTCGGTCCGCATCTGTTTGATATGAGTTTGGCTTTCTTTTCGTTGCTCGGCAAGTTGCTCGGACATATGGTGCTCGTGGGCCAGAAACTACCGCAATCGGTGCTGCCACCGCTGTTCCTCAACACCCCCGCCGAGTTTAAGCCAGAATTGGCGGCGGCTTTCAAGGCCGGGATGGACTTGGTGATGGGCGGCGGTGCCCTCGACAACTGGAACGGCTTTGAACGGTTCGCTCTGCTGCACAGAGTCGTGTTTTTGCTGTCGTTTGACCAGTGGAAACACTCGAAAGTGCACTACGACGCCCCATTCCACCCCAACCACCCGACCATTTTGAACCTCTGGACAGTGCTCGAGAACCACTTGGTGCCCGTCGAACAACTGATTTGGCGCTTGCGATGCGGCCAGCCCTTTCGGATCACCCCCGCCCCAATCGTGGGCATCGTCGAGAAAGATGTGTTGGGAGTCCCCGAAGACCTTTCCCTCGACAAGCTGCAGTTGGACGTGGTCTTGTTCCTTCGGGGGCTTCGAAAGCAACCAATCCCAACCACGGACGATTGTTCAAGTAGTGTCTCGGCTCCACCAATACGGCGATGAAAAGGATGATATGTATGCGACCGGTGACAGAGGCCACACTCAAGTGCTTTGAACTCGTTTTTACTGTTATGTTTGTTAAATTTACCAAAAAGTGTTCATCATCAATTGGCCAAACGCTTCAGAATCCACAAGTAAGCAAGAATAATCGCCTTGCCGATTTTGTGTCTACTTCGTCAAAGTGCACTAGTTCACTGGATTTTTTGTGTAGTTATTTGCCGTTGCAAGGAGTGTTTCAATGTATCCAATGAGCATGGAGGTGTGAATGGACATATGATGATTGGTTCAATAACGTTAGGACATTATTTATGGTACTAGTGCATTCTACTGCATCGCAGTACTACGGAGTAGATACAATCAGAGCACAAGGCATGATTTACACCAAAGATAGTAGTGAAATCGGGCACTACTGTAGTAGCCAAGACAATGGGGATGGAGGTTGGGATCGCCGATGCAGCATCAACACCCTAGTATGCGAGTAAAACGTACTGTACCCCCCCCCTAACGTGAATCAAATACGATTCCTGCGCATACTATCGGCTACGGGTACAATCAAATCATCCGCAAGTGCCACGGAAGCGTTTCTTTCGAGTCGATTATATGTTAGTCGTATGTGCTGCCAAGGTTGTCATACTGTTCAGAATCCACAGCACCAATCAATTCAATTCATATTTCGTGGTTTGAGCTACCGATAGACAATGTGCTGTGCGGACAGAATGGCATATTGGATTATGCAGTGGTCACCTTTGTATCGGCGACATCGTCATGCTTGCCTTCGTCGTCATCCGATAGATCAATGAGTTGGTCCCCGCCATCATCGTAGCTGGTATCGTCACCTTCCAGACCGACGTCGTCCTCGTGAGCATTTACATTCACAACATGTCCATCCCCTGGTTTTTCCGTTGCTTTCATCGATTCCTTATCCAATGCATCCATCATCCTCTCCTTCGCCTCCGCCTTGGCTTCCCCTGCGTCGTCGTCTTCATCCCTTGTGTATGTCGGAGCGTCGTTCGTGTGCTCGTGTTCAAGGGGGTTGGGACCTTCCTTCTCGTCAGCAATTATATGGTCAGCCTCCCCATGTTTGTCGTCATCGTGACGTAGTTCGTTGCCGTCCCTCGTTTCGTCTTCGAATTCCGTCGACGTTTTCACTTCCGTTGCAGCCTTTGAGTCCGCAGTAGCACCTCCATCCCCACGACTTTCGTCACCCGCTGTGCCCCTTGGAGTCAGCAAGGCCATCATACCGTCCCTCGTCCCACCGGTCGCCGACGTCCCCCCTGGCTCCAGCACCTCTCCGGTCGCCGCCTGATCAACTGTAGCCACCAGACTCGCGTCAAAGTTGTCGGCAAACGCAGCACTGTCAAACTGGTCCATGTTGACAGATTTCTTCGGTTGCAACTCGGCTTGCAGCGCTTGCGTGGACACTGTCGATTCGTCCATGCCGTACGCTTTCTTGGCCGCTTGTGGCACCGACTTTGCCTTGGCACTGGGACTTTTTCCAGATGCTGCATATGCCACGGTGACTTGACTGTCTCGCCCCCCCTTGAACAGCTTGTGCTTCTTTTTGTGTGCTAGCGCCGCTTCCGCTGCCGCCAAGGACGCCGCTAGCTCTGTCGTCAACGGATGCGAGTCTCCGCAATGCACCGCCGCTAACGACACTGCCCGCCGGTACGAGTGCAGACTCTGCGCTGGTTTCTGGAGAAACTCCTCTTCGACGGCGATGTTGTGGTGGGCCACCGCCTGCGCGGCAAAGACGTCGATGGCATCTGTTTTTTCCACAGCAGGAGCGCCCATGGCTTGTGTTTGGAGCAAAATTAGCGCCGCTTGGGCCAGTTCCAAGGCCTTGTCGTGGCGCCCCAATTGCGACAAGATGGCACACGCGTTCAATCTGGTTTCGGCGGCTTTGGCAGGGCATGGCTGATCAATTCGAGGTTGGCTCAACCAAGGACGATAGGACGATATGCAGGTGACGTACGGGGTAGAGCCGGCGGTCAATGGCCATGGCTTTCTTCAAATAGTCATACGCGACGCGCAGTTTGGCCGCTCGCCGGTAGTAACAAGCCAACTGATTCAGGATGTCGATCGCCAACACGTCGTCTTGGGTGGAGAGTGCATTCGCCTTTGACAACAACCGACGGGCATGGTCCATGTCGTTGCGTCGAAGGGCGTCGGCGGCGGCCGTCGTGCAGAATTCACACATGGCCCGAGCTTGAGCCCACACTTCTGCGCTACATGCACGTTGTTGCTCTAAGGTACATCTCGAGGTACAAGTTATGAGTACCTTTCGAAACCCAAGTAGTGCTGACGTAGGAAGAGAGCGCGCTCCCAACACACGAGCCCAGCAAACACATCTCCAGTCGCGACGCATTGTGCTGCTTTGGCATCCAGTGCTACCACATCCGGGAACTCGGGCTGGAGCTCAGCTAGAAGGGCTGTTCCCCGCACGACAACTTCGCTGGATGTAGCAGCGGCCGCCATTGTTTACTCGTGGCTCAAATGGCCACCACTGCCGTTACAAACCAGTTTCACTTTTCAACCACAAAATAATGCTCGTCGCGTTGAGTATTTTCGCAGGCCTCCTCGTCGATTTTCTTCAAATTTCCCAAATTTCCATCTGCCAATCGAGAATAAATTGAACCGAGACATCTGATTGGCTACTATCCACGTCCTCCATTCCAGTAGAAAATCGAAAATGGATTGTCGCCAATCAGCGACAAGTAATTTCGGATTGACCAATGAAAGAGTTTGGCGCCTGGGAGATTCGATGAACGGGGTCCGAAAATTCGTACCGAATCGCACAACTGTACGGATAGAATGTTTCGGCTGAACTGAAAATAATAAAACTCACTGGTCGCTTCACGTTGAGCCACTCAGTCCATCCATGCCACTTCAAGGCCTGCACAAACTATGTTCAGTACTAGGGGGTTCATAGGTACTGTACATAGGTGTAGTACCATGGCAAGCCCACACTAGAACCCATTGCCACGTTACAGCATACTTTGCCATGATAGAGATACACTTACATACAGTATTCTGCGCGTGGTTTGCCATGCCAGCATGCGATGAGAGGCTTCGTTTGCGATCTGGCGCCATCGTGTAGTAGCAAAAAGCGTTACAAAATGAACCAATCAGAAGCTGGAAAGTTCATTTGTAACTTCCAATGGACCAATGGCGTGCCATCTCATCTGACACCAATTACTTCAGCGTGAGTTGCACGCGAGCAGCTAGCCAGCTCCACACAGCTTTCCATTGATCTCTCCCTTCCCTGTGTGACCACGTGACGGAGGATGGTACGGGAACCCTGTCAAGACATGGACGTTCGATCGTCCAAGCTACGCCAGCCCACGCAATATGCGTCGCCCCCATGCAAGGCCCGGCCGCTGTCGTCGCACACGGCATTGCATAGCTCGTCAGTCAAGTTTCGGTCAATCTCAGACCTGTCGGACGACGGCAGCGACTCGGACTCGTCCGTGTTTCCTATGCGGCGGTGCCTTGCCACTTCGTTTTCTCCATTGTCCAGCAGGAAGCGGCTGCAATTTCCTACGATCTCCCCTACAGCCACCAAGCACTCAATATGTGATGGATCTACGGATTTGGAAGCAACAGTCGACAGCCAGCGGCTACGATTACTGCAGCTTGAAGATGAACTGGCTGAATGCCAGGCTAAAAATGTGACCTTGGAGGAAGCTGTGTCGGCAGCCGCCCGAGACCGGCGACGACAGGACAAAGCCCTGCGGCGCGCCGACGAGGAAATTCAGTCGCTTCGACGGAACTTGCAGCGAGAAGAGGAGAAAAGCCGGCTTGACGTGCTTCAAAGTGCCGCAGAGCGCAACGAACTATTACTTGCGAACCAAGACCTGAGGCGAGAAGTCGAAGCTTGTCATGCAGCGTTAACAGCTTGGCAAGAGCAAGCAAAGCAGGCGGAAGGACACACGCGGAGGTTGTGGCAGGAACGACTGGAGATGGAGTACGAAGTCGTGAGAAGTGTGGCCAAATGCAACCAAGAAAGTGCCAAGTCCCAGCGAGCAGAAGAGTTGAAGGCGGTGCAGGGCTTGCGGTCCGTGTCGCAAAGTGTGTTCAAGGACGAAAACGAGAGTTGCGAGGACGACAACAATAATGAAGCAGGGATTGCGATAATGGATCCTTCGTTGCAACGGCGGCGGCGGCGCCGGCCGTCCACGACACCAGAAGCGGAGGACGATGGCGCTAGGTCTTGCTGGATGGACGACTGGATTGAGCGACAAGTGCAACGACATCAAGACGGCCTCAAGTGGCTGGATACCATCGAGCACCACCTGCAAGAAGACGCGGTAGAGTATGGAGTTGCCCTCCAAGAAACGTCAGACACGATGTCGTTGTTCGCCCGGGACGATGGTAGTAGTTTCTTAGCCGAGGTAGACGACCTGCTGCAGAGGAATGTGTCGGTTGGAGACATGTATGGGATGTGCAGGATAAATCATAATGAAGCAGCATGATGTATTGACCACCGGACTTGAAATGAAATATCACATTCTTTCAACAAACAAAGTTGTCCAATCGAATTGGACTATAGTTTAATTTCAGCCAATGAAATCGATCGCGTTGGTTGTACGTCATGACGATTTAATTTCTGAGATAATATATGACGTCGAGTATGCAATTAAAAGAAGCCTGTCGAGGGGTGACTATTCTGCATATCAAGCCGCCACTGATATTGACAATGAGCGACAAGTTCGATGCGAGTGCCAAGGACATCGCCGTTGGTCTCTCCGTTCTGGTCTTCGGAAAGCATGCAGGAGTACATGCATGATGATATGTTTCCTTTTGTCTTTCATGCCTGATGGATTTCTCGCGCATGCCCTAGGTGGTGAAATACGTTCCCGACACTCGAAGCGCCCTGCTCGGGATCGAGCTCAATCGTCCCGTGGGGGACTGTGACGGCATTGCGGCGGACGGACGCCAGTATTTCAAGTGTCGACCATTACATGGCATCTACCTCCGGGAGGAAAACTTGACGGTAACTCGACCACTGCATCGTCGTGGCAACACTAGCATTTCGTAGCCGTACTCGGCCAAAGACGCCGCCGCCGTGCGGATTCAGTCCATGTGGCGCCGTCGCAAGACCGTGCTGGCGGTACGTTATACCTGTCTCCCCGTATCGATTGGTTGTTGATGGCAGTGTTGGCCGTACTAGTTTACGACGGTGGTGCTATCATCCATGTGGAACATGCTTGACAACAACCAAGAGCAACTCAACATGAAGCGCGCGGAGAAGACCAAGAGCGCGTCGCAAGCGCTGAGTCTCTTGGCCAAGCAAACCGTACATGTCCTCATACATAAGTATGCATGTCCTAACGATGACGTGGCAGTCCAAGAGCGAGATCAAGATTTCCCACAGTGTGTCGTCCATCACAGACGACTACGCAGGCCCTCGCCTGGTATTTCCGTTGCGATTGCACAATGTGCTGGACCTGCTTGAGCAGTTTAAGAAGAGCGTCGTGCTACATTCCAAGTATGCGCCTATAGCCTACCTACCTACCTACCTCCTCCACCAACCTTCTCTCTCTCTCTCTCTCATATGTGTTCGTGCATTAGATATGTCATGGAGGTGCTGCTGGAAGCAAAGAAAGTGTTCAACGCTTTGCCCACGTTGCAAGAGATTTCGGTCGCCGACGGTGAAAAGCTCACGGTTGTGGGCGACATCCACGGACAACTCAAAGTACCTATGTCGTGATCACGTCATCGGTGTTTGATAATTCGGACGATCACGTCATCGTAGGATCTGTTTACGATCTTCACCACGAACGGGTTGCCGTCGTTGAAAAATAAGTACTTGTTCAACGGGGACTTTGTTGACCGCGGCGCGTACGGCACCGAGGTGCGTACATGCGACGATGTCTGATTCTGAGTCCAACACGATAGGTCATGATGACGTTGTTGTGTTTCAAGTTGCTGTATCCGGACAGCGTGTTCTTAAACCGAGGGAACCACGAATCGCGCAACCAAAACTCGTGGATGGGGTTTGAAGAAGAGATCTGGGCCAAGTACGACGGCACGGCGGACGGCGACCCTTGCCGCGCCAGCACCGTGTACGACACGTTCCAAAGCGTGTTCGATTCGTTGCCGCTGTGCTCGCTCGTGCTGAAAAAGATCTTTGTCGTCCACGGAGGCCTCTTTTCCTGCGATAACGTTACCCTGGCCCACATCAAAGCCATCAACCGCAAGCGCGAACCGCCGCTGCACCAGTCTGGCTTTGAAGACAAGATCTACGAAGACATGCTGTGGAGCGACCCCCGCACGATTCCAGTACGAACGCAACCACATTCTTATGGTTTTCTGATGGAGAGATATCCATGTAGGGCCGACAGCCGTCCGAGCGAGGCGCGGGCACCGAGTTTGGACACGAAGTGACCAACAACTTTTGCGCCGTGAACCGAGTGGCGTTGGTTCGTACACTTGAATAGTGTGCATTGAGGCGATTTTTATATATATATATACCAACTTTATTGGTGAATTACTTTTGGTACTAGCCATTTAAAAGTCCCACATGAATACAATTGTTGCAAACGTTTGATTGGTTACTTGAAAGTGTTGTGGTTTTTGATTGGTCGGTTCTCGATATTGTGTGCCGATGTTTTGAGGTGCTGCTGGTCATGTTCGATGGACCACCATGCCTCGTCCATATGCTCGTTCGTCTACTCCATATATAACATATACAGCGCAAGTATATATTGTGTTTCTTTGACCCAATATTAGGTTGACTTTTGTGCTGATTCTTTGCCAAATCTATCGATCGATTCATTGTACTGACTTTTGTAAAGATCGTCCAGTTTCGCACTAATTTCAATCACACAAATTATTAGAGTTGATTTGATTGGCTAGTTGATTCATGTCTTGTGTTTTGATTGGTCAATCGAAATTCTCTGCCGATTTAATGTGCTGCTCATTCGATTGAGCCCTCAAATTTCGAATCGAATGAACAATATATATATATATATATAACTTGCGCTGGCTGTCGTGGACATATATATATATATATATATTGAAGCGATGGTATTATATATTTGCGCTGTCGTGGACATATATATATTGAAACGATGGTATTACATAGGTCATTCGATCGCACGAGTGTGTGCCAGAAGGATACGACGTCCTGCACGGCGGGCGCCTCATCACGCTGTTCTCGGCATCGCGGTACTGCGGCACCCAGATGAACAAGGGCGCGTTCTTGACGCTTGGCAGCGACCTGCAGCCCGAGATCCAGCAGTTCTACGGGAACCCCCTCGTTGAATCCGAGTGGGAACGGCCAGTGGATGAGCAGGCCAAGATGCACGAGAACCTCGAGGGCGATGCGCTGCGGATGATTGCCGAGAGAATTTGCGACCACAAGGCCGATCTATTCTGGTACTTTACCCAGCATGCTCACGAGAAGAGCGGCACGGTGCCGCGCCTGGTGTGGGCGGAAGCGCTCAAGAGCATCATGGGCATGGAGTTACCGTTTTTGCTCTATCAAACCAAACTTGCCGACGCCGAGCCCGACAACTCGATCAATTACTCCAAGTACGTAATATTTGTATGTATTCGTATCGATTGTCGTAAACTATAGTATTTGTCGAACGTTTGCACCATGTAATAATAATAATTCAATTTCACCAATTTTATTTAAATAGTCCATTTGAGATTACATTTGACATTGCATACGTTTATATATTCACGTTTTATATTTCATGGTCAACGATAAATATGGCAGTACTTCCTCTGTTCCAGGTTACTGCCGACATTTCAAAATTCGCGTGTTCCAAGTCACTGGCGACATTTGCATTTTATTGGCTGTAATTCTTCAATTTCTATCAAAATCGAACATTTATGACATTTCATTGGCTTACAATTGCTTTAAGCGCTGATTATAAACCAACCTTTTGCGAAGCTTCATGCAATTCCCTTTCATACAAAGTATCATTCGCCCAAATTGAGTGAGGGCTCGATTGTCTGTGTCAATTCAAAGTAAATGTCGGCAGTAACCTGGAACAGAGGAAGTATGTTCAATCGTACTAGTCTTTATTATAATTTTAAAAATATATATTATCATTTTTGTATGTTCAAGCGTACTAGTCTTTATTATAATTTTAAAACTATATATTATCATTTTTGTGTGGATTTCTCATGGGAGGATGGTAGGTTCTTGTCGCGCTATCGCATTGAAAACCCCGCCGTGGACGCGTCTGGGTGGCAGGAAAGCATTATTTCGACAATTTGCAAGAAATTGTATCGGGCGATGGGCGCCGGCAGCATTGAACAGGTATGGACTATTTATTTTAGTTGGGTATATATATATATATATATTTCATATTCCTTGTGTACGTCAACCAAGGAGCATTGTGACAAAAATTGCTATTATTATTTTCTAATATATAGTGACCAACAATGTATCGGAATAGGCGTTCAAAGTGTTTGACGCGGACGACAGCGGCACGATCGAGTACGACGAGTTTATGAACATTTTAAAAAGCATGGACACGGGCTTGTCCGACCAACAAGTACGTTTCGTGGTTTTAAATGGTTTTAAAATTAGTTTTAGATGTTTGAACTCATGCGAACCGCTGACACGAACGACGACGGGCGATTGGATTTCAAGGAGTTCATTTCTCGCTTTGACGTGATCTTCACGGACGTACGCCTCGCCAACTCACAGAGCTTCATCGGGCCCCCGCCGGCCCCGACGTCGTTGTCGGCGCCGTCGAAATTGGTCCGCAAGATGTCCGAGCGCGCCGTGTCGCTTACCCCCGCGCCCAAGGTCCGCCAACAATGTCTCATATATGTTTGTATTGTCCTTTCAGCTAAACCATGGACTTGACTTACTCGATCGATCGATATATGTTTGGACCTGATTTTATATAGTTTCCATGGATGCCCATCACACTATTTTTTTTAATCATACACCAATTTGGAACGTTTCACCGCTGTTTGGTTGTATATTTTAAAACTCAAACTTGTTTTACCTAAAAGTATGTTTAAAGAATCCATGGATTTAGCTTGAAAGGTATACATACTGGTACTTGGTTACGAGATATTGTGCGAGAAGATACTGTTGTGTATTACCAGTTGATTGACTGAATATATCTCATAATTGTGTACATTTTGCTCCGGTGTCACGTATCGAAACCAACAATGGTATTGCCTTTTACCCAAAATTTGGACGTTTGTGCTGAATCGCCAAATCTATCAATCATTTCATTGTACTCTATATATATGTATGCAATAACGACGGGTCCGTGGTGATGTGCATCACACTAATTGAAGTCACACACTAATTTGACGTTGTGGATAATTTCCTGCAATCTGATTGGCTCAACCCTTCTACCACGACGATATATATACATTTGGTTGTATTCTCCATGTCGCATCTCCAGTATTAAATACCCCCCAACAATGGTGGTACAATATATATATATTAATATATGTCGACCTATGCAGCAAGATGTGGACGAAGGCACAATGTCGGCGTTGGTGGCGATTGGCCGCGCATTCTTCAAGCTGGAAGGGTCATTGCTGGAGATCTTCCACCGGTTCGACACGAACCGCGACGGCGTGCTGCAGAAGGACGAGTTTTTCCAGGCGTTAAGTGCATTGGCACTGACGTATGACGACGAGTTGCTGGTCAAGATCATGGGAGCCGTGGACTTGGATGGCGGCGACACGATCGACTACAAGGAGTTTTTGGCGGCGTTTGCCGTCAAGGACGCGAGCGAGCAGGCCGCGCTGGACAAGGGCGCCATGACGTGGCAGCAGTCGGTGCTGCAGCAGGTGTCCAACATGTTTTACCAGCACCGCATCCATATCCGCGCGGCATTCCGGCTGTTTGATGTGGACAACTCGGGCACGATCTCAACCGACGAGTTTCGGGCGGGCATCTCTACGTTCAATGCAATCATGGACAGCCCCCTCACGGACGAACAAATTGAGGCGCTGCTGGCCCACTTGGACGCGGACGGCGACGGAATCATCAGCTACAAGGAGTTCCTTGAAGGGTTTCAAGTCGTGGACGTGCGTTTGCAAGAGTAAAACGACGATGGACTGTCGTTGTGGAGCGACTGAACGGGAAAGAAATATAAACACCAGCATGAAACTGTACTAGAGGATGGCTCTACTATTAGTACAATGTGTTGTCAATATACTGTACTGTCGGGTGGTTGGGTGATGGCGATAACTAGTTAGGCTAGTTGACGGTGGTTCCGGAATATGATACAAATTTACAAATTTGGGATGCAACCGACCAAACCGATCCACAATCGATCTGATTGGTTGAATTTCATTGAGAAATGGGTTTTGATTGGCTAATAATTTTTCTGAGGTAGCCAATCAAATCGATTTAAATTCCACAAGAGAAACCACGCCACAACACGAAATTTAACTCGAAAGCACAATAGGAGTACTATATTCTTTTAATGATATCGTTAACGGGAGCTTATAGTTAATCATGACATGCTCCTAATATGTTTTTAATATTAGCCCCCAACGGTCGTTCGCATGGCAGTTTAGCATGATTGGCTAATTAATAATCATGAATGTAATTGAAATAAATAAATCAATCCTCGATCCTTTGGAATACGCTTGATATTTGTAAAGTACTCTCTCCTATAAATCTGGGAATGAACGGTCGCCTGGTAATAGTGTGAATGTTGACATTTGCCGATGCAGAAGGCGTTACGGAATGTCTCGGTCGTTACATGGCGAACCCCTGTAGAGGATTCATGACGGCAGCTTGCAATTTGACCGATGAAGGCAAGCGTTGTGGCAGCGGCGGCGGTGTTCGGCCTCACGGCGTACTTAACGACGGCCTGTACGATGATCGCAGTGGGAAAGAAGGCAACCGTCGATGGCTCGACGATTGTCACGCACAACGACGACGCCGGTAGCGTCACGGCGGACTTGAGGCTCGTGGTGGTCCCTGCCAAGGCACACCACGACAGCATCAATCGATCGGTGTACCGCTTGCAAGGCGGGTACCCTCGCGTGGTCGCCGCGGATCGGAGTCCGCAGTACGCCGCCAAGGCTGGAGAGAACGAGTCGACACCGCTGGGGTTCATTCCACAAATCGAGAAGACGTACAGCTACATTGCACAAGAGTACGCAATCGTGAACCAAGTGCAGCTGTCCATTGGCGAAAGCACGTGCAACGCCCGGACCACAGGATGGCCGACGTCCATTCCTGGAGGCCGCGCCATGTTTGGACTTGGGGAGCTCACGAGTGTGGCCATGGAGCGATGCGACAGCGCTCGATGTGCGATCCGATTGATGGGGTCGTTGGCAGAAACCTACGGGTTTTACAGTGAATATGGCGGCACCCCCGATGCCCCCGGGTAGGCTTTGTGGCCGCATTCATAGGATGGATGCATTCTTCCTCAACTGTGTTGGTTTTGATGAATAGGTTCGACTCCGAAGCGCTGGGGATCACAGATCGATATGGAGAAGTGTGGGTGTTTCACATCTTGGCAGGACCAAATGGGAACGGAGGGGCAATCTGGGCCGCCCAGAGAGTGCCAGACAACCACGTGGCGGTGGTAGCCAACCATTTCACGATCAGCGCCATGAACTTGACCGATTCCGACTGGTTTTTGGCGTCTTCAAATGTCATTTCAACTGCCATTGACCACGGATGGTACACCCCCAAGGTAATAAATAATGTACGTTTTTTTTTGCCTAATAAATCTGTGTTGGGACTTGGTCTTAATGTACATATTAACTTGTGACGTGACCACTAGAACAATGCGTCGCATGCCGACTTTTCATTCAAAGCAGCGTATGCAAAGCCACCAACGGTGTCGCCACTGTTGTACACGGATGGCCGCACGTGGCGCGTTTACAGCACGTTTGCACGTTCCCAGAACGTTCCGGCGACCTTTGGCTACATGAAGGACTACCCTGAGTATCCGTTTTCGGTCCCCGTGGACGAGTTGATCTCTCTTGAAGCGATCACGACGCTGCTTCGAGATCAATACGAAGACACCGAGTACGACTTGACCCAAGGATTGGCAGCGGGACCGTTTGATAGCCCCCTGCGGTACTCTGGGTACACCACAGGAGTGCATGGAGGTTGGATGAACCCCATCTCTGTCCATCGAACGCTGTACAGCTACGCCGTTCAAGCCAAGCAGCCCCCTCACGTGACCAACACTGCAAAACCGGCGGCAATGTCGGACAACGAGGCACCGCGCCATCATCCCACGACCAAGGTGCACATCCACGAGATCGATGCGTTGCTGGGAATGCTTTGGTTTGGCCAAAGTGCTCCCCACGGTACTGTGTACTTGCCATTTTCTTGTGCGCAGACGTCACTGCCTGAGTCGTTTCACGATCGCGCGGGATACCAAGGCGAGTTTGCCCTTGGGTCTGCTTGGTGGGCGTTCAATTTGGTACGAACCAGATCCGTATTGGTTGTAACGTTAATAGTATTAATAGTATGACCCATCGATTGAACGCTGTGAATGCAGGTCAACAATTGGCGAACGATCCGATACAATGCCATCAGCCACGACGTGAACAAGTTCATCGCCACGTACCAAAAGGAAGCGTTTTCGCTCGTCCAACGTCGCGACAGTCGTGACAATGACCTCCGCCATGGAGACCTCGACGCTCTGCACAACGGATTTGCATCACGAGTGGTCGACGCTCGATGGAAGTTGGCATGGAAACTCATCTCCAAGTACAGCGATGGTTACGTGACTCCGGACAAGGAAGGGCCCATGAAGTCACTGGGGTACCCTGCATGGTGGCTCAACCAAACCAACTACGTGCAATGGGTCAAGCCACCAGTAGACGTGGTCGTTCCTCTTGCTGCACACTTGAACCGACAACATGCCGCTCCAGAGAGTGTTGCGGGTGGACTGATAGTACCTCTTCTTGGCGGCTTTGTGCTAGGTTTCGTTGCCCATGTGCTGTATCAAAACCATCGCCGCTATGAGTACCGTGCTCTCGCGTAAATGGGCTGTGAAGTGGTAGCGACAAGGTGTCGAATAAGTGAATGAACTGATGAGACTCCTGCGAGCTTGTGCCAGGTGCAGTCATAGATATGTAGTCCATGTAGCTACTGCAGCTGGCTTGATGCCATTTTAACTTCAGCAGTTATAAGCACTACTGCTAGAACGAAGTTCTGAGCCATCTCGCATGTTGCATCGATCCAATCTTAGGAAGTGCGGCTCAGAATCCAACTGTATTTTTATTAACTGACCAGTAAGCGCTTTTGGTTTGCCCTACAAACATCAAGGTAATTGTATAATAAGGTGATTTCGGCGATATAATAATGGCGGAATTTGGTCGTTTCATAACGCCCCTCTCGCAGAAATGCCCTGACACGGGTCAAAACTTTTAAAAAAGCATAAAAAGCCTGTATTTAATATTAGAGGTATCCAGTTTCCATACCATTTCGGCTACAAAGACATGGCATCGGCAATACAAATCTATCCATTTTGAAAGGTATGTAATGATAGAGGTAATTGGTTTATTTGTTCCTGAAGGCTTATTGGGGGGCGACGCGTATGTGCGGTTCCAAATCAATTTCTGCATGTTTTTAATTGAGGTATACTGAACCTCATATGCTTTTTCACGACTATTATATTTGCGCGAAGATATCCAAGCTACGTCATTTTCGAATAGGCTGGTAAAGAGCGAAGTCGAGAGATGGCTGACCTACCGATCACCTTCGGCGAGGTCCTCAATGTAAGTACCCTCCCATGATATGCCGCGTCGTCGCTGTCTGTCCTCCATCTTCCTCCTTCATGACACGTGATACGATGGGTTCTTGTGCATGTAGCTGGGGGCCTTGGGAGTCAACCTCGAGTATGTAAAATTTGGCACATGTGCCATGGAAAGCGATAAGTTCATCACTGTATGCGAGACCGTCAACGGACAAGCGAACGTGGTGATTGTGGACATGGCGGCGGGCAACAACGTCCAACGACGGCCGATTGCCGCCGAAGCGGCGATTATGAACCCCCTCACGAAAGTGATTGCGCTCCGCGCCGGTCCGCAACTTCAAATTTTCAACATGGAGCTCCGTGCCAAGATGAAAACCCACCAAATGACGGAAGCCGTTGTGTTTTGGAGATGGATTACGCCCAACACGATCGGGTTGGTGACTGCCGGCGCCGTGTACCATTGGAGCATCGAAGGCGACTCGCCTCCCCAGAAGCAGTTTGATCGCCACGCGAACTTGGGCCCCAACACCCAAATTATCAGCTACGAAACGTCCCCTGACAACCAATGGTTGTTGCTCGTGGGCATTTCCGCAGGCGAGGGGGGGCGCATTGACGGGAACATGCAGTTGTACTCGAAGGACAAGAAGGTGAGTCAAGTGCTCCAAGGCCACGCCGGCACGTTTGCCCACATCAAGCCCCCTGGCCGCACCGACGAAGCGCAAGTGTTGTGCTTTGCCGGGACCAAAGACGGCGCCCCGTTGCAACTGTTTATCATGGAAGTCGGCGCCAACGCCGCCGGCCAATCCTTCCGCCTGCCCCCTCAGCCCATCCCATTTGCCGCGGACGCCGTCAACGACTTCCCCGTGTCGATGATCGTACGTCTTATCTCCATTCTCGTTACTTGCAACTCATGGAGCATGGCGTAGGCGTCTCCCAGCGACGACATCATTTACTTGATCACAAAACTGGGTTACCTGTTTTTGTTCGACATCCACAGCGGCAAGCCCGTCTACCGCGCCCGCGTGAGCCAAGACACGGTGTTCGTCACGTGCCTGCACTCCCCCACGAAGGGCATGCTCGGGATCACGCGTCGCGGCCAGCTGCTCCAGTTTTCGATCAACCAGCAAAAGCTCGTGCCGTACGTTGTGGGCACCCTTCGCGACTCGCAGCTGGCGCTGAGTCTGGCCACGCGGTTGAACTTGCCCGGGGCCGAAGAGCTCTACTTCACAGAATTCAACCGGTTGGTGGGTCTGAACGACGTGCAAGGCGCCGCGCGACTCGCCGCCGTGTCGCCCCAGGGCGTCCTGCGCACACCCCAAGTGATCCAACGCTTCCAGCAAATGCCACAGCAACCCGGCCAGCCGTTGGCGGTGCTGCAGTTTTTCAGTGTACTGCTGGAACTCGGCACGTTGAACAAGTACGAGTCGATCGAGTTGGCGCGCCCGGTGCTCCAGCAAGGCCGCGGCCAGCTGTTGCAAAAGTGGCTGTCGGAGGACAAGCTCGAGTGCTCGGAAGAGCTCGGCGACATGTGCGCGCAGTCGGACATCACGATGGCACTGTCCGTGTACTTGCGCGCGAACGTGCCTGAAAAGGTGATCAACTGCTTTGTCCAGCGCGGCGAGTTTGACAAGATCGTCGCATACGCGTCCAAGACCAACTACCGGTGCGACTACACGTTTATGCTGCAAAATCTGGTGCGCGCCAACCCTCAAGGCGCGCTGGACTTCGCGCAAAAGCTGGCGGTGGCCGAGAACGGGCCGCTTGTGGACATTGCGTCCGTCGTGGACATTTTTATGCAGGTGAGCCGGATCCAGGAAACCACGGCGTTCCTGTTGGAAGCGCTCAAGGCCAACCGTCCCGAAGACGCGCTGCTGCAGACGCGGCTGCTCGAGATCAACTTGCTGGGCGGGTCTCCTCAAGTGGCCGACGCGATTCTGTCCAACAATATGTTTAGCCACTACGACCGGCCCCGCGTCGCGCAGTTGTGTGAGAAATCGGGGCTGTTTCAGCGCGCGCTCGAGCATTACACGGACCTGGCCGACTTGAAACGTGTGGTGGTTAACACGCATGCGATCAACCACGAGTTTATCGTGACCTTCTTTGGCACGTTGACGGGGGAGGTGTCGGTGGAGCTGATCAACGCGCTGCTGGGCCACAACATGCGGCAAAATCTCCAAATTGTGGTCCAAGTGGCCACCAAGTACGTGGAACAGCTCGGCGCCAAGCAAATTATCGATTTGTTTGAAAAGTACAAGTCGTTTGACGGGCTGTACTACTTTTTGGGGTCGGTGGTCAACTTTTCCCAAGAGCCAGACGTACATTTCAAGTACATTGAAGCTGCGACCAAGATGGGCCAGTTCAAGGAGGTGGAGCGCGTGTGCCGCGACTCGGCCGTGTACGACCCCGTCAAGGTCAAGGACTTCCTCAAAGAGTCCAAGCTCCAGGACCCGCGCCCGCTCATCCATGTGTGCGATCGCTACGACTTTGTCGAAGAGCTGACGCAGTACCTGTACTCCAACAACCTGCTCAAGTACATTGAAGTGTACGTGACCAAGGTGAGCCCGCAAAAGACGCCCCAAGTCGTGGGGAAGCTGCTCGACTTGGATTGCAACGAAGACTACATCAAGACCCTCCTCAGTGCCATTCCCCAAACGCCCGTGGACCAGCTAGTTGACCAAGTCGAGAAGCGCAACCGTCTGCGCCTCCTGCAGCCGTGGCTCGAAGCGCGCGTGTCGCAGGGCAACACGGAGCCGGCCACGCATAACGCCATGGGCAAGATTTATGTGACACTGAACCGCGACCCGCAAGCGTTTCTGATCAACAACCCGTACTACGAACCGTCGGTGGTGGGCAAATTCTGCGAAAAGCTGGACCCGGCGCTCGCGTTTTTGGCGTACCAACGAGCCAACGGCGCGTGCGACGATGATTTGATTCGAGTCACGACCGAGAACTCGCTGTTCAAGGACCTCGCGCGGTACCTGGTCCACCGCCAAGACCTCGATTTGTGGGGCAAAGTGCTGGTCAAGGCCGTGGAAGGCGAGGCGGAGGCGCCGTCGCGCCGCGCGTTGATTGACCAAGTGGTGCAAACTGCACTTCCGGAAGCCAAGAATCCGGACGAGGTGTCGACGACGGTGCGTGCGTTTATGAACGCGGAGCTCCCGAACGAGCTGATTGAGCTGTTGGAGCGCATTGTGCTGCAAGGCACGGAGTTTTCGACCAACAAGAACCTGCAGAACCTGCTCGTGTTGACTGCGATCAAGGCGTGCAAGGAAAAAGTGATGGACTACGTGAACCGCCTCGACAACTTTGACGGCCCGGACATAGCGCGTATCGCCGTGGGCGAGCAGTACCAATTGTACGAGGAAGCGTTTGTGATTTACAAGAAGAGCAAGTGCAACTCGGATGCGATCGGCGTGCTGCTGGATCATATCCAAGACATGACGCGCGCGTACGAGTTTGCCGACCGCTGCAATGAGCCGGATGTGTGGTCCAAGCTAGCGCGGTCGCAGCTGGACACGAACAACCTGCACGAAGCCCTGGCGTCGTTCATTAAGGCCGGCGACCCGTCGTCGTACGCGGCGGTGATCGCCACGGCCGAGCGTGACAACAACTGGGCCGACTTGATTGAGTACCTTCGCATGGCGCGCAAGTCGGTCAAGGAGCAGCACCTCGACACGTCGCTCATCTACGCGCTAGCCAAGTGCGAAAAGTACGCTGAGCTCGAAGAGTTTATCTCGGCGCCGAACGTGGCGCAGATCCAAAACACGGGCGAGCGGCTGTTCACGGAAGGCATGTTCAACGCAGCCAAACTGCTGTTCCAGAACATCAACAACAACGCCAAGCTGGCCATCTGTTATGTCCGCCTCGGCAAGTTCCGCGAAGCCGTGGACGCGGCCACGAAAGCCAACTCTGTGGGTACGTGGAAGGAAGTCAACTATGCGTGTGTGGACGTGAACGAGTTTCGCCTCGCGGGGCTCTGTGGGCTGCACATCATTGTACACCCCGACCATTTGGAAGAGCTTATTTTGAACTATGAGCGCCGTGGCCACTGGGCCGAGCTGCTTAAGTTGATGGAGCAAGGGCTGGGGCTCGAAGGGGCCCACGCCGGCATCTTCACGGAGCTGGCGATCTTGTACTCCAAGTACAACCCGACCAAACTCATGGAGCACATCAAGATCTTCCATTCGCGCATGAACGTGAGCAAGATCTTGAGGGCGTGCGAGAAGGGTCTGCACTGGGACCACGCCGTGTACTTGTACAAGGAAGACGGCCAGTTTGACAATGCTGTGCGCACGATGGTGGACCACCCCGTAGCGTTTGCCCACGACTTGTTTTTGGATTGCATCCAAAGAGTGCGCAACCAGGAGATCCACTACAAAGCCATCAACTTCTACCTGGAGCAGCACCCGCTCGAGCTCACGCGACTGCTCCAAGTGCTCACGCCCAACCTCGACCATGCCCGCGTCGTGCACCAGCTGCGCAAGTCGGACAACTTGCCGCTCGTGGTCGAGTACCTCAAGGACGTGCAGAAGGAGAACCTGTCGGCCGTGAACGAAGCGCTCAACGAGATCCTCGTGGAAGACGAAGACTATGCGGGGCTTCGCGATTCGATTGACTCGTACGACAACTTTGACCAGATTTCGTTTGCGCAAAAGGTGGAGAAGCATGAGCTGCTCGAGTTTCGCCGCATTGCGGCGTACCTGTACAAGAAGAACAAGCGGTACGGCCAGTCGCTCAAGCTGTCCAAGGCCGACAAGATGTACAAGGACGCGATCGACACGGCGTTCGATTCTGGCGACGCCGAGCTGGCCGAAGACCTGCTGCGCTTCTTTGTGGCGGCCCACGACAAGGAGTGCTTTTGTGCGACACTGTTTACGTGCTACAAGCTGATCAAGCCGGACGTGGCCATGGAGCTCGCGTGGCGCAACGGCTATGTCGACTTTGTCATGCCGTACTTGATCCAGTACGTGAAGAACTTGAACGACAAGATCAAGGTGCTGGACGAACGAACCAAACCCAAGGAACACGACGGCCAGCATCACATTGACGGCGGCATCCCCGGCGCCGTGGACCCGGCCTTCCAGCTGGGTCTGAACCCCGTCATGGCGATCGCAGCCACGGCGTACGACCCCAGCGCCGCGTACGGAGGCTACGGCATCCAGCAGCCCCTCGGCTACGGCGGCATCCCGCAGGGGGGGATGCCGTTGGGCGGGGGCTACGGCCAACAAGGCGGGATTCCCCCCCAACAATATGGAGGTGGATATCAGTATTAAATGATTGAACGTCGTGCATTTGATTGACTCTGCGACTGGAGCCACGTTGCTGTTGTTTATAGCAAGTGTCATGTAGGCCACACATGGCGGCATTGTACAGTAGTTAGTACATATGAGGCTGTGATTGTGTCGGGACATGCAAAGTACCTATATTTGTATAGAGTGGTGGTGGATTGGCAGTTGCCGGATACGCTGTCGCATGCCAAGTTGGTTGAGCATTCGGACTGCAAGTTGAAGTGGTCGGGCGACGTGTCACGACGTGTAGTTGGCAACGACGTGTGTGTGATGGTTGTCAAGTGAAGTGGCCAATGAAACAAGCGTATTTTCAAATCAGGGGCCTGTGATTGGCTCGTGGAATTGAACCTGGCATGCACGTTTATATGACCTGACATGGACCTTACAGTGGGACGTGGCAACCCCCAGAGAACGGTAAACGACCAACCTGCCAAAATGCACACACAACCAAACGTGCAATTGCACCTCGATCTGGATTTGACGACGGACATGACCAAGAAGACCAAGAACAAGTGGCTGCGCGAGCTCACAGACATGATGGAGAGGCACGGGTTCAAGCTCAAGCGCAACGAGAACCACCTCGTGTGGAGGAACGACCGCCTGAGCATCCAAATCGCAACGTCGAGCAGTCCCAGCGACTTGAACGCGATCCGCCAAATCGAACGGGACATCAGGCGTAAGCTCAGCATCGATCATCCGTGGTACAAGGTGCCCTGTGCCGCCTAAGTCGACATGGCCGGACCAACACGACACTGCTGCTACTCGAAGCCGGGGCTGCATTATGGCAACTCTGTGTATCGTAGCATGCGAGTCGTACGCTAAGCAGTCTGAACAACGATTTGATTGCATATCTGTATGAGAAGTCCAAATTGAAGTCTATGTGATCGATCAAGACGCCTTTCGAACGAGGGCGGAGCTGGCTTGGGTGGTCGACATGTACGACTGCTGTAGTCGCTTTTCTCGCGCCAGCTTCTTCTGTAGCTCCACCGCCTTGTCGTTTCGGTTTCGCGCATCGATGTGCGCTAAGCCGATCGAAGATCCATTTTCAAACACGCTTCGACTTTGGACATGTGCCGGTCCATGCAGCAGTTGGTTGGTCGTGCACCAGTCGATGCTCTTGCCTTCCTTTCCTTCAGGGCCGTGGGGAAACAACAAGTTGTAGCTCAGTCCATTCTGCCGCACATATGACTCCGTCAGATCGTCCGTGCTCGGGGCCACTGTCTCGCGCGATTGCTGGGTCTGCGGGTCCACAAACTTGGCTCGCATTTCCGAAATGCCATTCATCGCGCATACCACGCTCTCCTGCGCTAACTTGGCGCCGTATTGATCCTCCACGTAATTGCCGATCTTGACGCCCGTGTTGAACGAGTTCTTGTGTCCGCTGATGCCGTAGCCTGTTACATTCATGATGGCGAGTCGGGAACAAACAATGCGACTGCAGCAACATTGGGCAGATTCTTAAAATAGAATTCCGGATATAATTTCCGGATCTCCATTTCAACCGTGAACGGTCAACCTTTCTACAACAGGTCATAGATGCCGCCACCCGAAGACGCAGACGAATGGACTCTACCGCGGGTGAAGTTCCTGTTAGAGACGCAAGAAGTCAATGCCAGAAGTCCACTAACAGGTCGATCGCTGCTGCATGATGCGTCTATCCGAGGCATGAAGGACGTAGTGTTGCATATGCTGGCCAACACGGAATGCGACGTGGAAGTGCGCACAATGCTGGTGCGTTGATGATGCTGAAGTGGCCTAGCGATCAAAGAATCCACCTTGGGTATGTGATGGGCATTAGGGATGTGCGACGCCATTGCATCTCGCAGTGCACGCAAGCGACAGAAGCATTGTGTTTCTCTTGTTAAGTCACGGCGCAAACCCAAACGTTCGTGACCGGTTCGATCATGTATACCTCTTGTAGCTCCTGATCCTCTCGTGGATGGCTGGCTTATTGTAGCGTAGATTTGGGTCCACTCCCTTGCACTACTGCACCAAGCGCAGCGTGGCAGTTCATTTGATCCAGTTTGGAGCACGCGTTCTGGCTGCAAACAAGGTACCTGTGAACATTGGGACTTAGGGTTCCATCACTGTATGTTTAGAAGCGCAAAACGGCGGCATTTATGATTCAGTCCAATGAAGAAGCAGACTCGGCGCTCAAGACCTACATCAATGAGCTCGCCGATGCCGAGTACACCGTACGCCGACAGCAGCAGCGTTAAGATTGCAATGTCATTTGAAGTTTGTGTAAACAGGCAGTATGGTTCATATGTTGAGTTACTATACATCCTCTATCTCAATCAATTTGGATGTCGGCGCGAGCTTCTCGGCCAAGTACCGCAGGGACGTGGCGTTTAACGACGCCGGGGCCCCATCGTTCTTGGGGCCAGCATCCCCTCGACGCTCCCGGCGAACTCGCTCGTCCGCTTCACTGAGGAGGTTCAAGAGGTCGAATTTACCTCCTTCGGGCAAACAAATATCTACTCAAGAGGTCATAGTGATTCTCATTATAACAGCACAATTGAATCACTTCAATAGAAGCACGCACTGATTTGACATCCACTCAGGGCATTGAGCGCGGACAAGTCGACAGGGGGCGGGGGGGCCACGAGCGTCTTAGCGTCTCCGCCGTCGTGTGCTTCCGCCTTTTTCACCTTACGCTCTTTGCGGCGCTGGGCTTTACGCCGTTGTATGTCTTGCGTTTGCCGTGCATGTTCCACTTCCCACAAAAAAATGATCAGCCAAGAATCATATGGCCATCGGTAAGACGATGAAATCATGTCAGAAATACCTTGCAGGGCAATCTCGAGTTTCTTGGACTCGTCTGCATGCTCTTGCAGCACCTTTTGCAACGACGCTTCGACGTCCATCTACCATCAACCATGTCATTCCAAAATAAAACTCTATGAACTTGCCATGTTGGATGTGAAGTCGCGATGAGTCGATTGGGCCGACCCCAATGCAGTCTCAATGTCCTACACAACCCATTGAAGACAAAGGGCCCCGTACTGATTAGTTGAACCGTCAAATCTGCTGATGGAGTCCACGGCTTGGTCTCTAAAGGGCGTAGTTTTTGCTCAAGTGGGGTAACATCGCCCTTGCTGTCGGCCGTCATGTCCACAGGAGGGGTGTCCCCTGGAGCTAGAAACGCGTAGGGGACCCATTGATTGTCGTTGTCCCAGTAGCCGACGATTGGTTCGCCGTCTTTGGACATGGGGGGGTCCCATCGACTTTCACCCGTGACTGAGTTCAAGTAGTAATACGTGCCATCGTCGCCGCTCCAGTGCTGCACCCACCGGTCGTTCAAGTCGACCTCCTTTGCTTCGGCTCTGGGACTGAGAAAACTTCGAGATTGCACTTCCACTTGAACTTCATGGGCTTCTGATTCCAACAAAAGCCACTGGAGCAAGTCGGGCACAATGGCAGAGTCCTGTCGACAACCATATCAATAGTAATTGAGATGTCCACAACCCAAGCAAAGTACGTACGCTAGGTTGTATGCGACTGAAGATAAAATCAGCAATCTCGCTTTCGCATTGCGCCAAGTCGTGTTTGAAATGTATTTTTTCCTTGAGAAACAAGTAGCTACAATGAAAACAAAGTTGCGAGTTGTGATGGATATATCTTTTAGTTTAGAACGAAAATGAACGTACATTTCATCCAGGTGGGCTTGGCTCACAGACTTGAACCCAAAGCACCGCTTCTTGATGGCTTTGAGCTCCACTTGAATCGTCTCCATTCGGTCACATAGATGGCATAGCTCGTCTTCTGCCGATAAGGTTGTGCCGGCAGTCTACATGCAACCCCCCCAACCTGTCAATGTCATTGTATTGCACTATGATAACGCGCACCGTCTCATCTACAGCTGCACCAGAACCACTGGACGACCGTTGGCATAGCGCCGACATTTGCAACCGCATGCCAGCATTTCGCTCAGACAGTCGCTGGGCCACCAACAAGTCGACTTTTAATCGCTAGGTAGAAATATATGTCATTATGGAGTAATGGGGCAGCCAGCAATATCCACGACGGCAGACAAAACCGCAGCCTCGTACTTCGTGAACAAGGGTGGCTTCCAATGATCTCATTTTTGCCGCCATTTTGGACTCTAGTGCAAGTTGTCGTTCTGCTATTCTCCAAAATAGAATAGCATTCGTCGGCGCACCTGTGGACACTTCAATGGTTGCGGTGGTGGCCTCCCCAGTTCCGTCCGATACATCAGATGCAGCCACCGTCGTTTGGTTGCTATAGTGTGCTTTCATCATCATGATGGCGTCGGCCCAGGGTAAGTAGGCTGCGTCGTCGTCACCCAATTGCCCCGACGCCTACGTCTTCATTAGTTGTAATGACTTGCGCAGACCGTGTCACTGATGGCGTAGACGGTGTCACTGAGTTATACCTACCTACCTGCGCATCCAAGAGAGATCGCGCGACCACCTCTTGCAAGATCCACTCGTGTGAGCCAAAGTACTTGGTGGCGTCAAAGGCAGCGGCACCGTCTACTACCTGGAACTCATCTGCACCACTGAACTGCATTTCGTTTTCGTCGGGGGGCATCGACGGCACGGCGTTCCATTCCACGTAAGTCTGCATGAGCGCACAAAACCCGTGAAAGTCGTCGTACGCGAGTAGAGTTTTCACGAGCAGCTGCACTTCCTCCTCCTTTGGCCCGCCGGCTTCGTTGACCACGGCCTCCTCCAGCGCCGCAACAAAAGTGGATGGTTCACACCCCAAGTCCTGCACAATGCCTTCCAACAATCGCTCGGCCAGGTCCTTGAACTCGACAAACACAGCATGCTGCTGCAGTGAGTAGGACTCTTGCGGCCCCGCCAGCCCCACGAACGCCAGCTTGTTCGCGTGCATGAAAGCATTCACAGGCTCCAGCCATTGATCACCCTTGAGGAACTGCGCCACGGCATCGAGGAGAAAGTCGCTCATGCCGAGTGTGTCCGTTCAAGATTCAAAGCAGCACGTTTTAGGCAAGTCCCCCCACCCTCAGTTGTTGAGGATGGGGGGGGTCAGATATTAATACTAGTTTACTACTAGTATTCGATTTCGCACGTTGACTTTACAGTTATTCGTGCCCCTTGCAAGCCAGGCATATATAGTACAGTAACACTGTCTTGGGAAAAGTCGGAAGACAACATACCAGTACCGGTATATAGCCAGGAGGTGGTCCTTTGCTGCAGCGGCAACTTCTATCCCCGCTGTCATATGTCGTTGAAATGTTCATGCTACGAGTATCAGGAGAAGCGATCAATAAATTGAGAAAAATATCTTGAAACGGCAAAGTCAATAGGGCGGTTACAAGACTCACGTGACCGTTTCAGTCGTCGAGCCGCCTCGGCCAAACGGGTATGGGGCCAAAGAAGGGAAAGAAAAAGGAGAAGAAGGGCAAGAAGGGCAAGGATGGCGACAGCAAGGAGGACGACTTGTCGAGGGAAGTGGAGGCTGAGCGTCAGGAGCTGATCAAGGAAGCCAAGCGACTCGCGGAACGGTCCAAAAAAGAGGAGGAAGCGTTCAACGAGTTCCAGCAGCAGCGCGAAAAGATCAACTACTTTTGGATCGTGGAGAAGAAAAACTTGGAGGACAAGAAGGCCGAGCTGCGCAACAAGGAGCGCGAGCGGCAGGACTTGGAGGAAAAGCACCAAGTCGAGATCAAAGTATACAAACAGCGGGTCAAACACTTGTTGTACGAGCACCAGAACGAAATCTCGTCGTTGAAAATCGGTACGATCGCCGCCGCCATGTCCATGTCCACGACTGTAGCTGAAAATGACTGTAGAGTCGGAAACGGCGCTCAAGATTGGCCAAGACGACCACCGCACCACGGAGCGCGAACTTAAGACGGACAAACGATCGCTCAAGTTGGACCTGAAAGAGATGGAGCTGTCCCATGAAGACTATTTGAAAACGTTAAAGCAGGTGTGTGTACTAACGTTCCTACATTCGTGGCTTAGTTATATACCGGTACTAACAATATGCGATACAGGAACAAGACAAACGGATCACAGTGCTGCGACAAGAGTTTGAACGTCATGCCAAGGAGCTGCAGCAAAAGTTTGAGCGGAAACGCAAGACTTTTCGAGACGACTTGGAGAGCCAGCGGCGGGTGGACACGCTGCGCATCGAGGAGCGCAAGAACAGCCACATCGCGCAGCTCATGTCGGGCCACGAGAAGGCGTTTGGCGAGATCAAAAACTACTACAACGATATCACACACAACAACTTGGACTTGATCAAGTCCCTCAAAGAAGAGGTGGCTGAGATGAAGAAGAAGGAAGCGCAGGACGAAAAGCTCATGTTTGAAATCTCTCAAGAAAACAAGCGCATGTCCGAGCCGTTGAAAAAGGCTCTGCAGGTACGTGTGTACCAACGACCAAACCTTGTCGCAGATTGTGGATGCAATGTCAAACCTTGATATGGTGCAAGGACACAAGAATTGCGCTATTCTTCGTTTCTAGAGCCATCTAACTGTGTTTGAGAACGGTTTAGGACGTGGAGCGACTGCGCAAGAACATCAAACACTACGACGAAGACAAGGTAGCGCTCAAGTCGGCCAAAGCCGAGCTGCTGGTGCTGGAAGACCAGCTCGGGTCACTTTCGTGGGAGCACGAAGTGCTGACCCAGCGATTTGGCCAAGTGCAAACTGAATACCACACGCTGCACGGCCAGTTCCAGACGAGCATTTACGACGTACAGCAGAAGAACGGGCTCAAGAACTTGCTGCTCGAAAAGAAACTCGAGAGCATGGGCGATGTGCTCGAGCAGAAGGACGCGCAGCTGAACGAAGTGCTGGCCCACGCCCAGCTGGACCCGTCGATCGCCGGCCAGGTGCGGCGCCGGCTCGAGGACATCATGGAGGCCAAGAACCAGGAAGTGCGAGACCTGGAGAAGGAGCTCGCTATCGTGCTGCGACTCCTGACAGACTTCACCAAGGCCGCCGAGGCCAAGCTGGTCGAGTACGGCACGCCCGTGGACGAGCTCGGGTTCAGTCCCAACCTGAACCCCACGCACCTGCCGAAACTCGGGCTCAAGCAGGCAACGACTTTGCAAAGCAGCGCTGTGGGTGGCCAGGCGTCGGCGATTACAACCAGCGGACGAGGAGGCGGCCACTCCCCGTTTACGCTATCGCCGTTGAAATAGTAAGCGACAATATGAACTGTGGAGGGTGTTGAAAGTAGGGTGGTGTGATCAAAGTCACTAACACTGTAAACTAATGTAGGACAGATACAATAGTTGTGTAGTACACCTTTTTGCAGTTTAGTTGGACGAATGCCCGATATATTTGGCCAATATATCGGGAACACGACCTCAGTGTGCCAAATTAAATAGGCACATGGCTAATTATATCGGGCATATATCAGGTGCACGGCCAAATATGTTGGGCATTCGTCCAACTAAACTGCAAAATGGTGTACTACTTGCCTTTATCGCGGGAATTGTCGTCATTTAATTTTAAATACTGATATACGTCAAGAAGGTTCTATTTTAAATATACATATAATAAATAGATTAAAAAAAGGTAATTTTGAAATAGCTTCTATAGGATCTAAAAATAATTATACTTATCCTGTAGAAAATTTAGGATTAACTATAAATACTTTAATAGATATAATACAAGGTAAACATTCTTTTTGTAAAAAATTAAAAAAAGCTAAAAATCCTATTATTAATATTAATATAATTGTAGGTAATTATATTTTTGAAAAATTTAAAAATTTATCTTTTACTATTAATAGTATTGGTTTCATGAGTACTGTAGTACTGTATGAAGTGAAATACACTACGAGTAGTCGTCAGCATCCAGTATGATACAAGTGGACGTCATGCTAAAGTTACTTTACTACAGCCGCCTTTGGCCATCGAATTTCGCCTTTGGCCATCGAATTTCACTGTCAATGAACCCTTGATACAGTCAGTAGACTACCGTTAACTAGTTGAAAGGACGGATTCCCAGTCAGTTAAGTACTACGTAGTAGCCACGACATTTTTGGTATAAATGTCAAAATTAGCACACATTAACGGAATCCTACACGACTTTGTACGCGTTGCGGTTGGTCGCGCCGTCCTTGAGCTTCAATTTGGGGTGCACCAGCACGTAAATATCGTCAATTCGCGCGTCCAGCTGCGCGATGCGCTCCCGCGTGGTGGCTTCCAACGCGTCCATGCGTCCGCTGAGCATGTGGATCGCATCCAGGAGCACGCCGGGGTTGAGCGGGATGCCCGAGAACTTGGCAGCGAGGTCCTTCTGGCCGTACGCGGCGCTGAGGTTGTCGCTCTCCATGGAGATGCCCATTTCGCCGAGCGAGTTCAAGTTGCCGTGGACGTTGCCCATCATGTTGAGGTTCAAGTCTTCGTTCGAATCGAGCGGCATGCCCATGTTGATCGCGCTTTCCTCCACGTCGTACGTGGGCATGGGCCCGGCCAGTTCCTTGATGCCGTACCGCTTCTTGAAGCTCTTCATCCACGCTGGGGTCACTCCGGGCCACGACCCGCTTTCTTCGTGCTTGAGAGACGCGTGGGCGTTGCCTGTGACTTGCGCAATGAGCTCCGCCGCCTTCTGGTGCAGCGCCTCGTGCGTCACGGGTTTCTGGTGGCACTTCTCCGTGATCATCCATCGGTACAATTCGCGTTCCACGGCAGGGTACGCTTCGTCGTCGGCGACCTTGAGGGTCTTGCGGCGCAACGATGCCAAATGCTTGGCGTCCCCGCAAAAACGCATGATGCGTTCCTTGTTCTTCTTGATGTCGGAGATTTGCTGGCGAGAAATACCGAGAAGAGCGGCAATGTCCACGGGCTTCTCGCCATTGTCGAGACGCTGGAGAACTTGTTGCTTCTGGTACAACGACACCACGACGCGCTTGCGTTTGTTGGTCGTGGCAGGGCTCGCCACTACGGAAGACGCGGCCATGGCTGCGGACGGGGAGGGCTTGATGGCGGACGCGGTCTTGTTGCGGGCGCCACGCTGGCCCTTCCCAGAGGCGATGGCCGACCCGCCGAGCCCATCCCCGGTGGCACTGTCGTCGTCGCCTTCGTCCTTGAACCCTCCATCTAGCGCGTTGAGACCGTCCGGATATGTCACTTCATCATCCGGTGCCAGACCTTCCACAGCATCATTGAGGTCGTTCATCGGCAAAGCGGCGTTTGTTATCCGGTTGAAATCGAAGAATGGCGTCGGATGGCTGGGAAAATCCACTTTTTCGAAGTGTGGCGCGGATGCAGTGCTCTGATTAGCGGAATCTTTCTGTACTTTGGCTTTTAAGCCAATCATTAGCCGACAATTGCGAGGCTGTAATGTTGGAAATGACAGAACACGCACTTTTGAACTGCCAATTCCAGAATGTGGCAAGAAGCGATCCGCTGCACAACCGCTTGGTGTGTGTACCAATGACAAAAACCGAGATAGAAGAGTGGAGCATACATGCATGCATTGTACGCATTAAGATGACTAACACCACTGGGATAGATGGCGGAAGAAGGGTAGATGAGGTTCAGCGACCAAACTAAGGCGACTGGCCTGAAATGGCCATGTACAAATGTACTTCCGAAGCGATTTGTGTAGTCCTGATGGTGTTCGGCGTGCAACACCATAGGTTAAACCTATATATGGTAGAAGTTAGACGACCAGCCAGCAAAGCAAGCACCCTAACTTACTCGGCAGTTGTCATCCAAATCATGACGGTGGGATGAAAGTTCCGCAGTTGGCATTACCCCTCGTGTTTTGTCAATTCGCATCGGATGTAATATAGTGTGTTTTCAAATAGTGTTCGCGTGGATTGTACTGCAAATAGTGTGACTTGGTACTTTGACATCATGGCAGCCTCCGCGACGTTGACAACTCGACTGCGCGACACGTTGGACTTGCTCTGCCAGATCAATGAAATTCAGCCGGCGTTGTGTACGTACATGCGCCATCTTCATGCAACACGTCGCTCACGATGCATCTCCTAGTCGTGACCCGAAAACTACGGGACTTAGGCGCCGAGGTCGACGAGTCAATGCCAGAGTTCACTCGCTTCATCTTGGCCACGCTTCGCACGGACATCCACGACTTCCACAGCAACCCGCCGCGCTTCCACTACCCACGCCGTGAATTCCACGAGCATTTTGACTATGTCGTACGTCCAAGCACCTCGTTTCCACCCAGTCGTGTCAGCATCCATCTGTCAATGTGGTTCCATTGGTTCGTAGACGAGCAAGTGCAATCCACCGTTGCGTCAGACGCAGGCCATGCGACTCTTGTGTACGATCCAAGTAGGTCGTTCCATCAACCGCCATGATCGTCACTACATTACGTAGTTCATCTTGCTGCCCGCGCGTCGCTGGGTCGACGAGTACGCCGACGACACCGTGAGCGTGGATCCGTTCGTCCTGTTTGAAAGATACTCCAAGCACTTGTCACCGTACGTGGCAGATCCCATGTAAGTCCTTCGTAGCGCCACCGATCCTCCTCTTTCAGCTCATTTCTCAGCCGCCCCTTTCTTTTCCTCGCCACTCTCTAGCGATCCGACTAACGCAGTACAGCGCGACGCCAAAGAGTTCCAGCGGCACATGGACGAGTTCCTAGTCCACCGCAAGGGCCCGCTTGTCCACGAGGTGAGTGTCGTGTATGTGCTTACATGCTTTGGATTTATCATCACCTTTCTCCAGCTTATTCACGACATGTCGTCCATCACTGTGTCCATGGTAGAAACTGGTGGCGCTACTGGCGTTGTATCCCATGGCGTGGTTTCAGTGTCGGGTGATTCGGTTCTTGAATGCAGTGGAAGACCACCTGTACCCTTCCAACGACGCGGAAATGATGTCGTTCCCACCGGGCACCACAGCAACGTACGTTCAACCCTTGTCGACTTTGCCCTAGTAGTACACACAAAACTGATGTGTAGACCGTACCGAGTGAGTCGTCGATCGGTGCAGCGTCCCATGGATTGCTCGTCGGAAACGTGGCGAACATTGCACCAGTGCTTGCAAGCAGCTGTCGAGGACACGGTCACCAGGCAAATACAAGTGCAGCAGCCTCAGGAACAGGTGCAGCAGTCTCAGGAACAGGTGCAGCAGCCTCAGCCACAGGTGCAACAGTCGCAGGACCAAATCGCAGCTTCCCCTGACGCTCCACGAGCTGCGGGCAAGAGGCGGCTGCGAACGCTAGACGATGACGACGACGAGGACGAGCACGACATGGTCAAGCGAGAGAAAATGGTGGACAAGGCGGAGATAAAGCGGGGGGATGTGAACGGGGGGGGCAGCGTGGTGTCGTCCCCCGAGTCAGTGTCGGGGAACATGAAGGACGACAAGAAGTGGAAAGAAGGGGGGGGTGAAGGGCCCCGTCGTCGCAAGCGCCGCGTGGTGTGGTCGGCCGCGGAGGAAGACGCTGTGCGACACGGTGTCCGGCGCTTTGGCGAGTCGAGCTGGACCGAGATTAAACGGCACTACCCGAACGTGCTGCTCCACCGCACGCCAGAACAAATCAAGGACAAGTACCGCACGATCCAGAAACGACTGTCGAAAGGAACACCCTCCTGAGTGCGCCCCTTATATATACAATAATATATATTCTGTCAGTTGCATTGTGAATTTGCTATAAACTTCGAGAATTCGCGTCATTTGGCTAATCAATCAATATTGAATCACGCTGGAGTGTTCTGATTGGTTGAATATACTGTGTCCTTTCTGTAAGAGCCAATCCACTCCAAATTATATTAGCCAAATATTCGTGATTCGACATATATTTGTACCGAATCACAATCCACAAAATATACTTAGGTGACTTTACACTTTACACTGACATAGTGCCTTTGGGTACCTCCTTGACCAATGTATAGAGGGTATATTAGTCTAGTAGAATATAGTAATACTAAAGGCTGTAAGTCCAAGGGACCAGGGTATGTAGTACATTATTATTCGTACGTTACAACTCTTCGTCGACCACTTGATGGGGTCGCGCCTTCTTCTTCTTCTTGCTGCTCTTCTTGGCTTTCTTCGCCGCTGCCGTCGCTGCCTCGGGGTCGTCGGCAGTGTCGACAAACGTCTGGAACACTTCAAGGTCCTTGTCCTTAGGACTTAACTCGATGAATTCGTTGGAAATGCGCACGGCCTCCACTTTTACGTCATGGATCAACCTACATGCATATCCCCCATATAACAACGTTGGACCAACGCCCCATATTATCTTCATGTACACACACAAAAAATACCAACTACATATATTGTCGATTTGATACAAATTTGGGGAGGGGGTGCAATCGAATCAAACCGATCCAACAATCGATCTGATTGGTTGAATTTCATTGAGAAATGGGTTTTGATTGGCGAATAATTTTGAGCTCATCTGAGGTAGCCAATCAAATCGATTTAAATGCCAACGTACTGCTTGGAGATGGGCAGGTCCCGCTGCGGTTGATGCTCTGCCAAGACGAGGGCGCCGTGGTACCGCACGTACGTGAGAGCCAAGTTTTTGACAATGTCTTTACGGGGGTATGTGACACATTGCACCTGCGACACCGTCACGACCCTTTGGACAGAGAACAAGAGTACTTTACCGGGATGGCAACGTGGTAAATGCCGTTGAGGGCCTTGACAATATCCCGCAGCCCAAACATGTACCCGTCTAAATCGTCATACGTGACATCTTTGCCCTTCTTGGCCGTGCGGTCGATCCAGTACTGCAAACTGTGCAGCGCCTTCTGATACAGCCCGTCAAAGTAAATCTTGCGGGCCACATACTCCCACGACCCGTCGGGGTACTTTGCCGAATGGGCCAGTGCAAAGCTCTGGTTGTACATTTGAAACAGCGTCTTGGACTCTTTGTTCCACTTGGCATACGTGGGCATCCTATGTCATTTCTTGAATATATATATATGGAGGGCAATGTACTTTTTCTGTTCGTGGATCTTCCACAGCATGCCGTGGGGGGTCACATAAAACCCATTGTAGTACCCGTCTTTGCCCAACGCTGATTCGTTCTACAACATGATGATCACGTCACTCTTGATCACGTCACTCTTGATCACGTCACTCTTGATCACGTCATATGACATACCACGGCGTGGAGGTCCAAGTACATGTTGATTGCGTACATGTTTTGCATGACAAATCGGCGCATGAGCTGCTCAAAGCCCTTGCTGCCCCGTTCAGTGGACACGCCTTGAATGAGCTGGGGGAACGTGATACCCGGGTACAAATCATGCTGGCGACTGAACCAGCTGTACGGCATCAGCTGAAAGTTGAGGTGCGTTACATCTGGGCGCTTGTGTTCGCACTCTTGGAGGTACCGGACGCTGTTCCAGTTGATGTCGGTGTACGAGAGCAGCACCGAGTGGGGGGGTAGCGTGTCGAGTAGTGCGTTCCCGTACGAAGACATGACCACGCCCGACTACCTCCCATATATAATAATACATCACCAATGATAAACACAGCGAAGTAGTTAGTACTAGTAGTACCTTGCTGTGGTTGGATTGCCGAAAGTGCGTCGAGATTTGAAGCCCCACGAGCGCCACGGACGACCCGATCACGAGAAATCGACCCATGGACGTCGGAATGAACGACGGCAGCCCCCGAATCACATTGCCCTGCATGCGCGCGAGGCCAATACCCAGGAACATGGCGATGACCATGTTGGGTTGCATCCAGAAGCGGCTGTGGATCGATCGAGTTAGTGGCTACCAACGAAATCTATGAGTCATCCGTGTCTGCGATAAGGGGCGACTTGTGACAGCGTACAATGTACAAGGGCAAGTTGGCCAAAGCGTTGAAGCAAACCAAGTAGTGCAGCAACGTCAAGAGGAGCAAGTCATCGAGCGATCGTTGCTCCGGGGTATGCGTGTCACTGGATGACGTGGTCGCGTCCGCCACGGCGGGTGTTGCCTCGGGTGCGTTGTCGCTACGATTACGTCATCAACGGATTCGTAAACAAAGACTTGTCACGATGACATATTGTGGATATGTATCTCGCCGTTAATCGAATCTCGAATCGACGCTATTGGCTACTCTGATTTTGAGTGGATTTGATTGGCTCTTACAGAAAGGACAAGTGTATTCAGCCAATCAGAACTTCCAACGCGATTCAATATTCATGGACAAAACCACGCGAATTATTGGAAGTATATAGCGAATTCACAATAACGTTACATATTGTATTGTGTTTATCCTAAACTGGAGCGACATGAAGAATAAATCGAACCAATCAAATGCACAGATGAATTGGCAGAAGTATTGAGCCAATCAGATTGCAGGAAATCAACATCTAATTAGTGTGATGCCTAAACCAGTGTGATTGCAAGCACCTTACAGGCCGACTTTATACATAGTATACGTAGTCCAAAAATCTGTAGAATCGATCGATAGATTTGGCAAATCAGCCCCACAAGTCCAAATTTTGGGTAAAACGAGACATTATCACTCGACGCGTTGGCATTGCAACACATCCACGGTATACTGTATCACACACATACACACGTACGCGCGCCACAGCCCAATGAAGGCCAAGATAAACCCGACGCCAATAAATTGCTCGCGGGCGTCGTGCAGGTACAACAACCCTCGTTCCCACGGAGTCTACAGGCAATTTTAGTTCAATTATAACCATACAACACAATCATAAAAATAATAAACAATTGAAATCGCCACCAAATGGAACAAAGCAGTGTGATTGGCTAAAAAGAATGAAGGTTGCACAATGATTGGCTAAAATGGTTCAATGTTGTACAGTTATTTATAAAATATTGAAAATATGAGTATATCACTTGTGCAAGAGATATAACGTCATAGTACCTCGGTAAGGTTTGTGGGTTTGATGGGCGACAGCTTGAACGTGCCGTACTCTTCTCGCACCAAATGGCGGAGCAGCCCCATCCAGCTGGACGCGTTGCCCCACGACCCCTTCGACGGCGTTTCGGATACATTCATGAGATGCAAATATGGCGTCAGGCCTGCCACAAAGCTACGCGAGGGCCGCCGCGCGTAAGTTAAAAATGCGATACAGACATGTGATAATGGATACATATACGTACAGCATGCCAAAGCAAAAGAGGTGGTACCAGCGAAATACATTGCGACCGTGCCACAACATCCACGCAATCATGGGCACTTCGTACAAGACTACAAGCCAAAGCAACGTCATCAGTTGGATGAAGGCGTCGTTGCGATGACGTATCGATGGAATGTGATGACGTCCACGTACTGGCAGTGTGTTGGTTGGAAAGGGCCAAGCCGCAGATGAGAGCGCCAAGTGACGCGGCCGAGATGCTGTGGGAGCGCTTGAACACTGCGCACAGCACAAACAGAATCGCGAGGAGCATGTTGTTCAACGCAAACACTTCTGCCCCGACAGCATATTCCCACGTGAGAGGCGTGAACGCAAACATGAGTCCGCCCGCGATAGCTGCAAACGCATTCGTTTTGTTCGTGTACAAGTACACAAAGTGGGTGATCGCGGCGGCGGCGACGGCGGCGAACAAGGCGTTCTCGAGGTTGGCAATGTACGCAGGCGTCAAACCGTGGAAAAGTTCCAGTTTGAACGCGGCTTGAAGCAGGAGAAGGTACAGCGGGTAGCCCGGCGGATGCGCGACGCCGCCTTTCGCCTTACAAGCTTCCGCGAGGAGTTCGCCACTGTCGCCACCCGGAACACTGGGAAACGCCGTGGCGACGTACATGGGCAAAGCCACACAGAACGTCCCCACGGCGGGTAGAACATCCAAGAGGCCGACACTCGACGATGATGGCACCCCAAGCACCTTCGCCATCGAAGTTGGTCTTTTCAATCGAGCAACGTTTGGACTTTGAGTGATAAAAAGATCGCTGGCATTATTTGTTCGGTTTTCGATTTTCGAAAGGTCGCGAAAATATATATTTATAAAATAAGGTTATTAAATTTGGGCGGTGGAATCAACATTTTCGAACCATAGAAGGAGGAGAAATGTCGGATCGATGCATAACGCTATAGTTAGCGTACGAAGATGGCCACAATACCTTCAAAGCGATGGATAATTCGTTGCCCAAGCACCACTACAGGACCGTTACTGTGGATCAATATTATTATCATGGCGTCGAATTCCGGGTTAACGTTATAAGTAGTAATATCTGTACTATTCTTATACGAGTTAAATAATACTACTCCGAGTACGTACAGTAGTATAGTGTTTTGTATGGGACAGTTGAGGGTGTGCCCTTTATTGCATATCTGGACACAGAAGTATAACGTTATAGGGTTGGTATTTGTTTCCGAAATATATTAAAGATTACAGTATCCGGATAACTTCGAGAAATTTCTACGGACATCAATTGTTGGAGGAGATCCAAATGCATTCGAAATCCTATCCAAGTGTTTGTTTGCCACCGCGCGACATCATCCACTGGAAGCAACATGGTAAGACTACGGGATCGTGGCGACGGGAAGCAACTGCATGACGATGGTCATCATGTGACGATTACCTTAACGTAGAGCGTAAAGACACAGACAGAAGTTCGGGACATCACACGCATCGAGCGGATCGGGGCGCACTCCCACATCCGTGGCCTGGGGCTCGACGACGCGTTGGAACCGCGCAATGTAAGCCAAGGGATGGTTGGTCAAACCGATGCGCGCAAAGCCGCGGGTATCGTCTTGCGCATGATTGAAGAAGGCAAAATTGCCGGTCGCGCGATCTTGTTGGCAGGCAAACCGGGCACGGGGAAGACGGCGATTGCGATGGGGATTGCGCAGGCGCTGGGAGAAGACACACCGTTCACGACGATTGCTGGGAGCGAGGTGTTTTCACTGGAAATGAGCAAGACGGAGGCTCTCACGCAGGCGTTTCGTCGATCCATCGGTGTGCGCATCATGGAAGAAACCGAGATCATCGAGGGCGAGGTCGTCGAGATCCAAGTAGACACCCCCACCGGCGGCGCTGGCGACAAGATTGGACGTCTGACGTTGCGCACGACGGAGATGGAGACTGTGTACGACTTGGGCGCGAAAATGATCGACCAGCTGACGAAGGAGAAGATTGAAGCGGGTGACGTGATCACGATCAACAAGGAAAGCGGGAAGATCTCCAAGCTCGGCCGGTCCTTCACTCGATCCAAGGACTACGACGCCATGGGGCCGCAGACGCGCTTCGTGCAGTGTCCGGTACAGACATTAGCGGCATCTCTTCCTCGTCGGTCGTCCTTCCTAAATGGGGAATCATATGCGTAGGAAGGGGAGCTGCAAAAGCGCAAGGAAGTGGTGCACGTCGTGAGCTTGCATGAGATCGACGTGATCAACTCGCGGTCGCAGGGGTTCCTGGCGCTGTTTGCCGGGGACACGGGCGAAATCAAGGACGAAGTCCGCGAACAGATCGACACCAAAGTCAGCGAATGGCGCGAGGAAGGCAAGGCGACGATCGTGCCCGGCGTGCTCTTTATCGACGAAGTGCACATGCTTGACATCGAGTGCTTCTCGTGGCTCAACCGCGCGCTTGAAAGCGACTTGGCGCCTGTCTTGATCATCGCCACGAACCGAGGTACGTCGTGTTGTACATATATATATATATATATACTGGTATATATTGTGCTTTTCAGTCAAATTTGCCTATATTTTTTGGGGATTGATGAAATCGCCAACTAATCGAGCAAAGGAGTATGATTGGCTACAAAGAATACAGGTTGAAATTTGATTGGTTCAAAAGATAGATTGATTGTAGTATTGCAGTCACAAAGATACCTCTTGAAGTTTGTTTATATGAAATTTCGAAGGTCCGACGATTGTTCAACCAACCGTTGTAGGAAATTTTGAGTAGAACACACAATATATATATATATATATATGGGCCTCGAGAAGGGGGAAAGACTTATGCGACGGATGATGTGTAGGCATCACGCGCATCCGCGGCACAAACTACAAGAGTCCGCATGGGATTCCCATCGACTTGTTGGATCGATTGATGATCATCTCCACGAAACCATACACCGAGTCGGACGTGCGCAAGATCCTCAACATCCGATGCGAAGAAGAGGATGTGGAAATGTCGGACGACGCCAAGGACCTGCTCACGCGCATCGCGATGGAAACGTCGTTGCGGTATGCCATCCACGTCATCATGACGGCGTCGCTCGTGTGCACCAAGCGAAAGGGCACCGAGGTCGAAGTGGTCGACATCAAGAAAGTGTACTCGCTCTTTGTCGACGTCAAGCGCTCCACGCAGTTCTTGATGGAGTACCAGCACGAGTTTATGTTCAACGAAATCGAAGACGACGACGAAGATGACGAGATGGCGTAGATGGACCGAGAGGACACGCGGGAAACCTGTTGAAGAATAATAAACCATTGTAAACGCCACGGGATGACCACCTATACTAGCGTTTCATGGTGTACATACCGGTACCTATTTGTACATATGTACTGGGTACTTACAGCACGAATGTCAAGCCTTTCATGCTTTACCTCGCTCATCTGGGCCTCCGAGGCGTGATATGACGCAGGCAATTTTAGCCCTCGACAGGGACGCCGACGCCACGCTAGTTAACGAGTTGGGACCAAATACAGTGCATATTTTTCTTCTTGATAGTCCACTTGAGAGTTTTCAGTCACATTTTCCAGGATTGGAAGTTATATTATTTATAACGTATACTACGTAGTACTTAATGTAGTTAAACCAAAAAATCTGAATTAGTGTAGTCAAAGTGGATCTGGTATCATTTCAAAAATAATATTGTCGATTTTCTTCAAATTTCCCAATTTTGCATGGTTCGTTCACGACGTTGTCAACTGAAGAGAAGTACAATGTGGTCACACTTATCATGGTTAATTGGGATATCATGCTGGTAAACGAGCATTATATTTTACAGTTCAGCAGTACTAGTACCCAGCTTGTAAATAACGTTAACGGCCAATTATTGCCCCAATATCGACGAAAAATTGAAAAATCAGATGTACAGTACTGCGGCGGTCAATGGCGTGGGTCCTAGCGAGTTGTACATGATGACATGGGTCGTACCTGGGCCGGTGATGGCGCGGGTGTTGGGCGGTATGTATGCCGCAGTCCATAATTTAAGACCTGTGGTGGTGCAGCGTACTACACCTTTTTGCGGTTAATTTCAGCTTTTTTTCACTATATTTCGCTAAACTTGCAGTATATTTCATCTGACCACCGATATATTTCGGTTATCTCCATTTACTACGTAGTAATTTCGTGACGACCTCAAACGTCACGTTTATATTTCACCAAGCCAGCTGTATAATTCGACCAACTATCGTTTACTGTTAATTTCACTTTTCGCCAATATATTTCCAGCAGCCGATATATTTCGACCGTCATCGGTTTCGTTACCCTTGCAAGTGCCACTGATACATGTATGTGACTCATGGAATTCCTTTACGACCGTACTTCGTCCTATAGAAAGGTTTTGCCGCTTGTGCGCACATCCACCGTGCGTTGGACTCCTCTCGACGACGTCGCTTGTGCATAACCTAGTTATGCCACAGGAGTCCAATGCACGGCGGAACTTCGGTCTGGTTATCTTTGACTTTTGCGACCTTAGGCAAACACTGTTCTAACGTAACGTCATTGATCTAACAAGTAAAACAGGCATCGGTGTCGGTAGCCAAGTTGTCACTTGTCGGTGTAGTAATGGCTATGGAGTCCAACATGCCGACAAGTGGCAAGCGTCACCCAGGGCGTAGGTACAGTAGATATTGATAGTATACAGTACCACCAGTAACTTTTGCGTTGGGTCTTTTGGCGAAATTGATCGCCTGCTGGGGGAAATATATTGGCGAAAAGTGAAGTTAACATGTAAATGATATGTAGTTGGTCGAATTATACCGCTGGCTTGGTGATATACATATAAACGTGAAGTTTGAGGTCGCCATGAAATTAAATCGAGAGAACCGAAATATATCGGTGGTCTGGTGAAACGTACCACTCCGTCTCAAATCACTGACACGTTTGATGTTTGCCACATAGCGGTTTTATGACCAATCATTGGATTTGTGTGAAATTAGTACTACAGTATAAATCAAAAGAGAAGAATCTTGGCTAAAGGGTCACATAATTATATTGCCATTTTTCCAAAAACTGAGTGTGTATTCTTCAAATAATATCAGCCGCTCAACCCAAAAAGTGCTTTTTCAAATGTTCACCGGACTTGAAGAATGTATGATGGTCTCAAATATATCGAAAACAAGAGGTATCTTCGGCTGTACTAGTATAATTTAATTCCCAGGAAGGTAATCGTTTTAATAAAATTGATTGTTTTCTAATTTCACAACTAATAGAATGTCCAAACACTTTTCAGTGATTTGGGACGGAGTGGTACTGCAAGGTAAGAGAAATATAGTAAATAAAGCTGAAATTAACCGCAAAAAGGTGTAGTAGGTCAGCGGCCGATGGCGACTGTCCGGTGGCGTGTGCTTTCTTGCGGTGTATGTCTTACGGCAGTCGTTGAGAAGTGGGGATGTCTGCGCAGCCGATACAATAACTTAGTATGTTGAGGCTTCGCCAACCAATGCGACATGTTCCGATCCAAAAACGTTTGATTTGGCCCAGTCCTCCACATTGGGCATAACCAGATATATACTAATCGCTGTATAGTATAATTTGTACAAGCTTATATTGGATCGAATGGATCACGAAATGACTCATAATAAGTCCTCAAATTTTGGATACTGTAGTACTACGTAATTTTTTTCATGTCGCAAAGTTTGATTGGCTCCTCTTCCCAAAAGTGCGACCAATAAGAATTCACTTAAGGGCATTTCTCAGGATCGTCCAACAATGGCCGGCGCATTCTGCATTGCACCCAAATTTTTATGAGTCATTTCGCGATCCACTCAATCCAATATAAGCTTGTGCAAATTATAACATACAGCGATTAGTATATATCTGGTTATGACCAATGCGGAAGTTCTGGGCCAAATATGACATTTGGATTGGTAGAAATTTGACACGACGTGAATTGATTGGCTTAGGTGACGTCTTTAATCGATTTGACAATAGTACACTGTATCATGAGTTGTCATGGAATACAAAATTTTGACTTGGTATTTGTATACAGGATAGAGGGGTGAATGAAGACTTTTCTCATTTTTCGACGATGGAGGCAGCGCTTCGAACCATCGCCCAAGTGGAGCGAGGCCCGGACCATCATGGCTTGACGCTCCTCATCATTGACCCTCAGATCGACTTCCATCCTGGTGGAAGTCTTGCGATCCCGACTGCCAATGAGGATGCCGTGCGTACCGCAGCGTTCATTCGTGCGCATACCAAGGAGATCAGCCAAATCATCATCACGCTGGACTCGCACCAACGGCAGCACATTGCCCACGGTGTGTTCTGGCAAGACGAACATGGTGTGAGCCCGTCTCCATTCACGCTGATCCTATCGTCGGATGTCGCCAGCGGCAAGTGGAAGCCACGATCCCCGGAACTCCAAGAGTACGCGTACGAATACACAAAAGCGCTTGAACAAGGAGGGCGTTTCCAGCTGTGCATCTGGCCCGAACATTGCATCATCGGCACCCCCGGCCAAGCCATCGTGGACTCCATTCACAGCGCAGCATTGGAATGGTCGGTCCTGACTCGTCGTCCCATCCACTACGTGAACAAGGGCAGCAACTGCTTCACGGAAAGTTACTCGGCCCTGCGTGCAGATATTGAACTCCCCCATGACCCGTCGACGTCGTTGAACGTTCCGCTGGTCGAGTCGTTGAAGAAGTCGAACGCGGTCGTCGTCTGCGGCCAAGCACGGTCCCATTGCGTCAACTTCACGGTGCGCGATCTCATCAACGTATGGCCCACCGAGCGAGCCAGTGACATTGTTGTGCTCTTGGACTGCACGTCCAACGTCCCCGGGTTCGAGTCCAGCGGCCAAGTACGTCTACCACTCACTTCCTCTACTATGTTCTCACACATGGTATGCAGGCCTTCGTCGACGACATGGGAGCCAAGGGGGTGCGGTTTATTCAGACGACCACCGACGACGCTTTCCTCCCTGCCGCACCACCTCGTGTCGTTTAGGTCGCTCTGCTTTTCAAGATAATCCGCCACTGCTATGACCACCGCCGTAGACTAACATTGTAAACGAGCGATTTAATTCAGTACCCCAAATTCATTTCACGTGTAAATACTACTACTACACCTTTTTGCAGTTAAGTTGGACGAATGCCCGATGTATTTGGCCGTGCGCCCGATATATTTGGTGGTGTGCCCGATGTAACTGGCCATGTGCCCGTTTAATTTGGCACACGGATGTCGTGTGCCCGATATATTTGGCAATGTGCCCGATATATTTAGCCATGTCCCCAAGCAATTGGCCATCTGCCCGATGAATTGTGTCTCATCGAGCAGATGGCCAATTATTTGGGCACACGGCTAATTCGCCAAATATATCGGGCACACGACTTCCGTGTGCCAAATTAAACGGGCACATGGCCAATTATATCGGGCACACCACCAAATATATCGGGCGCACGGCCAAATATATCGGACATTCGTCCAACTTAACTGCAAAATGGTGTACTGGTAACGTAACAGTCCAACTTAAGCATGCCAATCGAGTCCTACCTAGAAAGGCAACTTGGATGCCACATAAAATGGCCGTTTTTCCAAGAATAGTTGCCAAAATGCCAAAATCGAAATGACGTTATTCCTTTTTTCGAGATTTTGTGGATGCCACCAAAGTTGAAACTTTATGCCCCAATTTCCCTGAGAATCGGGTGTTTATGGCATTACAAAGTTTGACCGACTTTTTTATCGAGGTTTGTGTTCGTTGAAGAAGTCTTCACTGGGAAATCGAATAATTTTTCCACAATTCAGCTGGCATCTAGACAAGGTTGTACTAGTACTTCTTTTCTCCTTTTTTCATAGGAAATGAGATTTTGAGAAATTTTTGCAGACAATCGGACCCGCTTGTTTTGAATTGTTTGTGGACAAAGTCGTGTGAATGATGTTGAATCATAACAAGGAACACATGGCACTTCATAGCTCCCAAATAGGCCTGGATTTTGGCTTTATATAACACATCACATAGTATACCTGAGTTACATGCCTTCTACGGCAATGTCACGGAAAAAGTGTTCGTAAATTAGACTTTAACGTTATCGTGGGAGTTTTAACCATCGTCTCGATTTTGCGTTTTTCAGTGGTTTTGGAGGTTGGATGAAAAGCAAACGAAAGGTCGAACTGTTTTTGAGAAAAAAGCGTCGTTTTTTATCCAATCGGATTGGTTCAGTGGCGGTATGTCCACAAGTCGGGGAAGCCGTACACACTCTTCCGCATCAAGCGACCATCCCATGTGTGTCCTCCTCTCACGAGATGGTACGTACATACCAGTACAGCAACTAGCATTACGACATGTAAATGCTATTGCACGTGTCGGCATTGTGTGTTTGCGAGGAGGCGCATTTCCTACATGTATACTA